CGACAGCTCTGTTTCTTCACCTGAGGACGGCTGCTTGCGTTGTGGCCGAAACGTCGTGAGAATTTTATTGTTTTATGTTTATTATTTTATTATTTCCCTTCTTCGTGACTTTACCGAAAGAACCAAGAATATGGGGAAATTGTTTTCGCAAGAATGCGTTTTACCCTTGACGTGGCACTTTTCAGGAACGCATCTATCGCGTTAAACAAGGGCTTACTGTATGCACAGTATGGCCCTAAACATCGCCTATTCTTTATTTTTCCTTTGTAGGCCACTTATTCATGTACCAAACAATTTTTAAATCAAATTGAAGTAAAATTGTTTGTCATATTGCGTTGGCAGTGATGAACAAATAACCAAAAACTCAACCCATTCTTCAATAACAGTGGCCTTGAAATAAAAAATATATAACTTTTAGAAAAGCGCATGCTCTATATAGGAAGGTGTTGTATATGTTGGTTATCAAAATTTGTTATGTTGTATGCGTGCGTGGGTGAAATTATTATGTTGTATATGTGGGTTATGAATTTTCAGTGAAAATAATAATAATTAAATGAAATTTGGCCAAATGTGTAATTATCCGGAAATATGTTAATTTATGTAATTATGCACATTTTATTATGCCAATTCGAGAGGTAATCGTATTAATTATGCGAGTGGGTGTAATTATGATAATGCAAGTCGTTATGATAACCAGACCCCGCCTCGGTGACGAGGGTGGGTTATCGATCGGAATAAGGCAATTAATCGTATGCAGTTATGCAGGTGTGGTGTAAGTATGCAAGATTAACTTAGATTAACTCGGCATCGTTGTCTAGGTTCGTCTCATTCTCGCTTTAACATTCCCAGAGTGTGTATTCGTGGTTATATTTTAGGTCCCCGGTTCACCCCGTTATCGCTTTAACATTTACTGAGTATGTATTAGTGTGTTTATTAAGGTCACCAAGTTCAGATCTCAACGCAGAAGCAGATCTTATGCATAGATTTCAGGAAAGAATCACACAACCACTTCTGTATTGATCAATTTATTACTAATTCAACCTTAACTATGATATAGTATGCGAACTCTCAATCCCGGAACGTCAACACGGCATCAATACAGTATCATCAACGATTGTCTGATTTCACTTTGACAACGGCACATGGATCCCGCATAACGCGATGGTTGTTAGTGAGAGAGAGAGTCGTTAAAATATGCAAATACTATGCTAAGAAAACCTTAACGTTAATGAATGATTATACTCAATATTGTTCACGCAGTACCGCCCTCCTTATTGATCATACGCAACCCTTATCACGTTGTTAGCACCTTGGGTCACGGGACAGTTGAATATTCTGTAGAGGATGCGAGTACGTGCGGCGATTATGACTGAGAGATACTTGAAAGATTATACGGCGATAAAAAAACACAATCAAAAACAGTTATTATTCTTAAAGGCACCAATCTCAACAGATACATCGGCAGGTTATCTGACAACAGAACGGCTCGGAGTAAGGGCCTGCGACGGTGCTCCTTTTCCGAAGATCGTTATCTTATACCAAGTTTACTAATTGGGGACCAGATCACCTGATAAGGATCCGGTGGGCCACCACTCCCCACGTGAGCGTGGCTCGGCGGAAGGAGGCGCCAAGAATCAGTTCGTATTGATGGATCTGTTGGGAATTTATGCGATTAAGAGTACAGCCCACTAAATATTAAAGATAAAAATTACGAATACTTTTATAAACGACGGATGGCCATCACTCGGTCTCGTTGTGATGCCTTCCCAGCCACGGATGGCTTATGGGTTCGAGTGTGTTTGAGTGGTAAGAGTTGTCTTGAATAGTCAGTGTTCGGAGTCGATTCTTTATGTCAAACAGACGCCTGGTGGTCGTGTGGTGAGGGGGCGGTGCGCGTCATACGTATCAGTCGCTCCCCTGTCACCGTGGTGAACTGGTTCGGATGCCCGTTGATACGCTGTCGCAGTTCGGAACCCGGTCGGTAGGTGGCGCCCACAACTCGCTCGCAGCGTGCAGTGTTGGGTCGTCGACCAGGGTGTGCACGGAGCCTCGTCGCCAAACCGCGACCCTCACCACTCTGGCGGCAGCAGAGACCTCCGACTCGGCAGAGGTTGACCCACGCAGGCCGAGTTGAGCTGTCAAGCGGGTCTTGCCCGCCTGCAGAGGAGATGGGGAGCCGCTTGAGTCGAGCCCCGAGAGCCGGCTTTGGTAAGCCGATCGAACTCGGCTGAGTCCCAGACGAGCTGAAGATGAGTCGAGCCGACCCGCTGGTCGCAGCTCGCTCCTGAGCCGACCCTCCCGGTCGAGCTCGCTCCTGAGTCGACCCGCTGGTCGCACTAGTTTCCAATGCTCAGGATCCTTTCCTTTATGCCGAAAAATCCCCCTGGATCCCGCCCACAAGGCGGGGCTTCTTTCGATTTTTGCTGTGTCAGGATTTGTCCGTAGGCAGGTGTGTCCATGTGTGTGTCCGTACGTCCGTATGTCCTTGTGTGCATCACCCACGGTATATTCCGTTGTCACACTCCCTCCATAAACCCACGAGCAAACAATCAGATGTTACAAATTGCCTCGAGGTCGTCTCTCTGTCTGGGTGCAATATTATCTCTTGTCTGGCCTTCTTCATGAACCCAAAACACAGACGTTACAAATCGTCTCATAGGCGTCTTTGTTCGTGTTGCACAACCTGGAGGGAGGGGCAACACTCTCTCCGACCCGGCGCACAAAGAAATGGTTAAAAAGTTTTAAGTTAACATTTGTCCCTTACTATTCACAGTTATGATTCTGTATGTAACCTAAGGTCTGTCGTTTCCCATCGTGGTGCTTGACTCAAGTGGAGGTGTTTCCCCGAGCGTATACACACTCCTATCCCGCGCTGCGGGAATACAAAGACGGCCGGGATCTCCCTTTCTCTCCGACCCTGGGTTTAACATCGTTTTTTATTATGTATTATATTCGACCTGGTGGTGATTCATCCCGTTATCCTGGCTTTTCATAAGTTTTACTTTTGTCTTTTCATGCATATGCTTCGGGTCGAGTTGTATAGAAAGTATTAAAGTATGGAAATAACATTTCATATTGACTTAATGATGGTGATGGTTCAGTAGGCGTAACTTGTGACCTGGTTTAATTGGAGTGGGTGTGAATATCAAACTTTAGCCTACCCTGTTGTTAAATTCCGACTTTAACGTTACTTTAATAGCAATACAGAATAATTGAGCTTTTTGTCTTAACTAGGCGAACGCGAACTTCTGGTGACCCCCGCAGCCTTGTTGTTCAGCTGGGTCTGCCTCCTTGAGAGATATACAACACTCTTATTCTCGTCTCACTGTGGCCATCCAACCTTCTGCTCTGGGAGTGTTATTCTTAATTTCAGGTCCAAGGCCCCCTCACGTTCAGACGTGCAGGGTTGTTTAAATCAGCTCCCTCCCCTGTGCACACAGCCTTGAGCTGACCCACTTCTTTGACCACTCACCCTGGATTTAATAATTTAATTCCTTGGCCTTTTTGGGTTTATCTTTGTTCCCTCAGCTGCAGGAGGACAAGGCGTACTTCTACCTCCCCCCTGTGTGCACGTGTTCTAACTAGCTCGGAATCCCTAAACACACAATCAGTGATGATTCCTGGCTTTCTGTGGTTGTGATTTAGACAAAGGCGCCTCTGTTTTCTTCCATTGCCTTTGAGTCGACACTGCCCTATTATTTGCCCATGTGCTGAGGTCATAGAATTCGTTTTGACTTCAGTAATATTAACATTCAGTATTGGATTAGCAAATGGGCAATGGTTCATTGATGTAGCTCGCAGCCTGGTCTCCAATTTGAGCGAGCGCGAGGATCGATAATTCAGCCTACTCTGTTGTTGAATTTCGAATTTTGACGTTACTTTAAAACCATGCAGGATGGTTGGGCTTTTTGCCTTAACTATGTCTGGCTGACACTCCCACTGTCTCTGCCGCCTGCACGGGTGACATGTGCCCGTTCATCAGGCCTTATCTTTCCTTGAAGCAAGGTTGCAAATTCTGCCATCCTAGCCCTCCTCCAGTTCATTACTTAACAACACCTGGTGTTTTGCAGTTTGCTGCGCTTTGGTGTGTTTCATTCATTAAAAAAACAAGTAAAAAGATAATATATAAAAATATCATCAAATATTATTAATCTCAATTTTGGAAGAAGGGTTAGTATACAACAAAGGCCATTTCCCGAGATGTATAAATGAACCTCATGGCGGGACCCCGGGGTCCCATAAGCCCCCGGCTCTCGCATGAACTGCATTGTGACGTCATTGTATGTCTGTTGAAGGCGAACGACACTGCGATCTGTTCCTCTCCACGAGCTCCACACGATGCGCTCATCAAAGTTTCGCTTGTTCACCTCTTCTGCGCATTCGTCCTCGCCACTGCGAGGACGACAACAGAACGATCCACGCCAGGTGGATTTAATGTGCGCGGTGGGACGGAGTCGCACAAAAATAAACTATTTTTTTACGATTTTGACTTCCCCGGGGTCCCGTCATAAGGTTCATTTGTTATTTTAAGGCCACATAGATTATTCAGATTATTTTGCCGCTATACATCTTCACATAACATGCTACCTTGTTGAGCTATCGTTCGTAGCCTGGTCGCTTCTGACAGAATAAGTTAAACAGCTCGTTGGGTTTTTACCCACTGAGGGGGGCGGGGCTACGGGTGGGAGAGGGGGCGAGGGGCGGGGCTACGGGTGGGAGAGGGGGCGGGGCTGAGGAGAGGGGGGCGGGGCTACGGGTGGGAGAGGGGGGCGGGGCTACGGGTGGGAGAGGGGGGCGGGGCTACGGGTGGGAGAGGGGGGCGGGGCTACGGGAGGTCACGGGTTCATCATCGTCGGGGAGGAGGCGGCGGCGGGAAAGACGCGGCGTGTTGCTGCCGAGGGGATAAATTGTCGCCTCCGCCGGGGTTCAAGAGACTCGTGGGGGCAGGGGACGGGAGTCTCGCCGGGGAAGTGGTGGTGGTGGTAGTGGTGGTGGGGAGGGGTATAGCAGCGAGTAGAGAGAGAGATAGAGAGAGATAGAGAACAACGGAGTCGTCGTTCCTCCTCTCCGCCGCCGCGTTGCTATCGAGTGAGAACATGGCGGGCGTTGCGCGTGGAGTTTGCGACGCGTCCTCCTCGTCCGCCTCGGCCGCCGCGCTCAGGTCGGCGAGCCCGAAGGCCCGCGGCGAGATGTGGGCCAACTGGAGCCACGTGTTCGTGTTCGACCGCCGCGGGACGAGCGAAGGTGACGGCAGCGAGAAAGTCCTGGACGTGACCGGAGTAAAGCTCTTCAGGGAGTTCAGGAGTCTCGTGGCGCAGGTGAAAGGGAGTCGCGGGAACACAACGCGGGGGGGGGGGGGGGTCAGAGAGAGTCAGAGAGAAAGAAAGAGAGAGGATCGATGAGATGGTTGAGGTTTGTTGATAAGGGAATGAGAGAGTGGAGACTGGAGAGAGGTTGGCACGTGTATCAACCACCACCACCACCCCCTCCTGTGATCTTGAGTTGCGAGGGGATAACTTTGGTGAAGCTTTTGAGAGACGCTTCTCTTGGGGCTGGTGACAGGAGATGATGAGGTGGGAAGTACACGGTGTCTCGTCTGACCCGAGATCTGACGAGGGTGAAGCTATTGTGGATTTGTGTGAGGTCCCTCAGAGGCAATGTTTGAGGCGTTTTGCTGGAGCTGGTGGTGGGACGAGATAAGTTACCGTGGTGCCAAGTGTCTCCCCGGGTCACTTGAGAGTAACGGTGGTGGTGGATATTGGGGAAGTGGTACGCAGCGCGGAACTGTTATAGATACCGTCTCGTGTGATTTGTTTACAGAACAAACCCGTCATTCCATTCACTGAGTAGAGGGGGTGGGGTGTGTGTGTGTGAGTGTCAGGCAACCACTGTTCTAGAAAGTTCAGTGGTAGCCGTGGATCCTGTGGCAGGTGAGATGAGAGGAGGTGGAGGTGTTTGTCTCTGATGCTCCTCGGAGCAACAGAAAGGAAAATAGAAAAGAAAACTTGTGGCGCTGGTGAGATGAGTGATGGGATGCAGTGTACAGGGTGGTCCAGGTGTCTTGTGACCCCCCGCCCCATACCCATCCAAATTAATTGACCCCGAACATTGCTTTTCCTTTGAATATTCATTTCTGTTTTAAACAAACCTTCAAAGAAAATAGAAAGTTTTAGAGAATTAAATGGTTGGTCACAGAACATCTGGACCAGTCTGTGCAGAAGAGGGATATGGGAGTAGGGGGGGAGAGAAGAGGGTGTCAGCTGTTGCTGGAGAATGTATGTAGGTCGGTGTTCTTCATTGCAAGGCCCGAGGCCAATTGGCGGCCCCTGGTGGCCTTGAGTGCGACCCCTTGGCATGTGGCCCTCGAAAATACACAACATGTGAAAACACCCCCCCCCCCTTCCCCCATCATAGTGCTGTCAAACCCCCCAATGCTATACATATATACGGAGTGGCATGAATATACAGAGTCACCCACTAATGCATACCTGCAGTTCACACGTACACACACGTGTACAAGATTTTTGGCATGGCCCTTGCAGGCCTGTACTGCGTACCCAAAGTTTGAAAACTGTCAAGAGAGTTCATGGGAATCATGAAGCTGTTGACAGGGGTCCTTCACAATTCCTGCCTCTTTAGCGTGCATCCTGATGTGTTGTTTAGGGCCCACGTTTCTTTAGCTATCGTGTCCGGAGGGAGGTTATGGTTTATGATTAGAGGTTGTTTTTATTGGGTTAAGTGTAAGTGTTTGGGGTTGGAGTTAGTGTCACTGTTAGGAGTTATGGTTTAGGGTTTAGTTTTTTGGATTAGTGTTAGAGGTTCGGGTTATGGTTAGGTGTAAGGGTTGCTGTTAGGTGTTGAGTTTAGTTTAGGATTTAAGTGTTACGACAAGCGTTTGAGTTTATGCTTGGGGTTATAAACGGGAGTAGCTAAGACCACTGTGATGTTATATATCTCCAGAGTGAGAGAGACGAGCATTAAGGTCTTCAGAAAGTTCCAGAAACTCATGAAGCAGAAGATAAGAGGAGAGGAATAGAGGATACGGAAGAGACCGTACACTCCCGTTACGTGGGCTGCACTGCACAGGGGACGAGACATAGGTTAAGAGATGGGGGAGGAGGGGAGCAGACGACTACACCACGTGTGCTATTGTCATTTGTGATGTATCTTTGGGTCTGCACATAGCCCTCACTGACATAAATATTTCCAGCTGCATGTGACCTTCTAACGAATTCCTGTTGCGTGCAATGCAAACATCTCCGTGCTGCGTCCACGATTCCACGGTTTGCATCTCCACGCTCCACCCGTCTCGGAGTAGTGCAGAGATGTACGGTGCTAGAAGCTGGAGATGTTATGGCCTGAGTTCAGCAGAGACGTGGCTTAGCGATGCGTGGAGAGAGCAAAGTTTTGAAGGTGGAGATACACTGCATCAAATTAATAATTAATTAGATAAGCAGAGTAGTAGCATTGGACAGCATAAAGTATATGTGTTTTATGGCAGGACATATAATTCCTTTTGTGAATGCTTTCCCACATCTAATATTTCGTTTTATCGTCTCCTGAATTAACTATTTGATCAAGAATTCACTGTAGTCATTGTTTGCATGTACATTTCTATTTAGGTATATTGGAATCAGTGTGAATCGTTAATCATTACTGTACAGTACATGTGTAGCCTAAAACGTCCATTGAGCAGCAGGGGACAATGCTTTGGTAACTGCTCAACATGAGTTACCAGGTGCCTGCAGCTGGAGTGCAGCCTTGGGCCAATTGCAAAATGGCTTAAGTGGTGAGTTCTCTGAACTGCAGGCCACCTTGCCCCCCTCCTAAGGTGATAGACACCTCTATGATTTCCCAACTGTGTTGTCGGCATCCTGACGCGAGACAAAGGATGCATTCATTAGAAGAAATTGAGTGCATAATGCATAGTGTTCCCTTACCAGTCAAAGTTATACTTCGAAATGTCAGAGCTGGAATTTAACACAATGAAATACAAAACCAAATTTATCAATTTAGTTTTTTGTGTGTGCTGTATTGGTGACCGGCCTGAGACCAACGTGGTTTTTCGAGAACCCAGCTTATTCACAACTAAGTCTATGTGAGTGTAGTCCACAGCCAAGATGCTCGCCCACGCATTTATCATCAGCCATGTGTACTACTGAAACAGCATCTTTGGCTGTGACGCTGCTGTGTACCTCCATCCACTCTGGTCAGTGCTAAACACAGCAGTCTGATAGTTTGGAAGCAGAAATTTGATTCGTTCACGACTTCGATATGAGACGTGCTACACTGGCTACCTATTAACCACAGGATTGCTTACAAACTATGCCTCCTCGTCTCCAACAGTCTGCATACATCCACTCCATCCTATCTCGCCAATCAGGGCGTGCCGGTCTCAACAGACCCACATGGATGGCGTGTTCGATCCGCAGCCCACGGTGATCTGCTGTACCCTCATGTGAACCTTGTGTGATACAGCCAGCGTAGTTTTGGGGTCTCCTGCCCGAAGACCTGGAACGAGTTACCAGCTCATGTTTCGGGATCCATCCCTGAGCCTGAGCCAGTTTTGCAATTGACAAAAAAACAACGTTGTTCAAAAGAGCTTACATCTGTGATTATTGCGCATTCCTGATGGACTGGATTCATAAGAGTGCCCGATAAATGCTCAGACTTAAGCAGGTCTGTGGGTCTCTATGTAAGTCAGTGGGTCTATATGTAAGTCATCATTGGTGAGAGGGTTAAGACCATTAACTCCCAGTACTTGAGAACGCAGTTTTAAACAAGAGCACCTGAAAACTGAATTTAAAGTTAGGTGTCTTAGCTACGGCAAGCGGCTCAGCATCCCTGACATCACATTCCTGAAGGACCCTGTGCCCATTTTTTGCAATATTGACGTTTATGTTTGGTTGTTGCTGCTGTGCTCGCGCACCGTGAATCTCCCTTGTTTAATAGCCGGTCAACTGGATAAATGGGATCATCTATGTAACGAATGAAAAATAAACTTAATCTGAGCCACCCGGCACAGCTGCTTGTTTACATTTTTTCATAGTAAACAGAGAAAACCCCATTGTGCACTGGTTTCCGCAACAGCACTTTCACAATGTAGCAACTGGCGAGTGGACTAGTGAGTGAATTGTCAGGATTCTTGCACCAGCACCACGGTGGTTACCGTGCAGCACCACTGTGTTTCGTGTGATTTTGTTTTGCCCGCGCATGCATCCGTTATGTCTGTAATCCACCACTTCAGAGGATGGAGTTGGTGGATCACTCAGAGATTACTGTGTGCAGAGAGACTCCTGACCTACTGTGTCACAGGATAGCCAGGATATGGCAGTGCAGCACAGCAAGCTGGTTGCTCATCTTCCTCATCAGGATGGATTCCAAAAACACACCTTGTCTTAAGCAGGTCACTCTTGCATATGAGACTGTCCTTTTGTCTTGAGGACTCACCTGGTTAAACAAATAAACTTGGAACTTGAAAATCCATCATTGGACTGCATTTATAAGCTTCCTTGCCCATGCTTTCCCGCCTTCACAAACCGACACTTGCTGGTGTGGTGAAGTATGCTCAGAAACCCCATGACCCACACAGCATGGAGGAGACCCTCATCTAGCAGTGGATTGACAAAAGGGCTCTACATGTATCTTTATTATGGTAATGTTGACATTTTGACCATGGCGTTGTCTCATTTGTGGAACTGCCAAGCTGAGTGGCCGTGACAGCTTCAAGTGCTTGAATGCGGAGACCTCGGTCCGGACCACCGCTGTAAATGTTTGCGTGTGCATATTTTCCAGCTCTTCCACATCGGGAGTGAAGACAGCTTTGTCATCACAACCACGAGCAGGAAAGAGATCAAGGATGACAAGTCCTTTGGTGAGTCAAGATCGGGATGCAGGAGATCGTCTTTTGCTGTGCATACTACGGCTCAATCCCATTGACCTTCCACCCCCAGCGATCTGGTGCGTTGTCATGTTTCAGGGTCGTGATGTGAATCCAGAGTCGATAATTTTTGGTCGTCTCTTATATTCCGCATGGTATGCGCACCCTCGGTGTGTAACTACCCAAAGGAGACGAAGAAAGGGTACTGTGATCAGATATGGGTGCCACCGTCACTAAAATCAAAGATTGGAAAAAAAAATGAAGAGAAGTTAAACGGGAGGGGGGGTGGGAAACTTCCACTCGTACAACTCGATTATGAAAGCCGCTGGGTCCACGAACTATCAGCAACAACAGTCCTACTGTTATCGACCGCCATATCCCAGCTGCTCCTGATGTTTCCATTTAATTTCTCTCTATACAAGTGCCTCCTCGTCCACTCAATGGGGCATATCTTTTTCTCTGTCATCCTAGGGTTGCCATTACTTTTGCTGAATGCCTGTTTGGTGGAATTCTCCATTAAACTGGTTAGATCGTGTAAAAATATAAATGTGTCGTTAAACCCGCCACCACCCGACGCAGCCAATTTGTAAGGTTTGTCACGTAAACATAACTTTTTGTTACTACTGTAATAAACCACTGCGACGACGATCTGTAACTTGTGTCTTCTTTATTATTTATTCATTCCTTGACAGCTGGATAGCTCCGCGCTCTTCACTTTGATACGGCTGCACTCCCGTTCCGCGCGGTTAGATGTTGTCCCTCGCGCCGGCTCGCTCACACCCTCTCCCGCTCCCGTGCGCCGCTGACAGGCGGCTCGCAAGGAGGAAGCCTCCGGCCCGCCACATGGCCGCTGGCGTTCCGGAGGCGAGAGACGTGGTCCCGCTCCCTGGCTCCACACACTGACCCTGAGCCCCTTCCGGCTTTTCCTTATATCCCCTGACCTACGTCACCAAGTCCCGCCCACAGCCACGACCCTTCTAGATGGTTACTCTCCAGAGCCTTTGAGCTCCACCCTTGAACTTCGGCTCATCCCTCTGATTGGTTGATGGCCCAGGCGGCGGAGCCTATCCCACTGATCGGCGGTGAACTCTCGTATTACATCACCCCCCCCCCCCCCCCCCCCCCCGGTGTAAAAGGCTAGCCGTCCCGGCTATAAATGAAGCGACGAACAATACGAGAGCCGATGGGAATGAAGACAATACAACAGTAAGAACACTAACAGGGCGCCTAACGAGCGCACAAGGCAAGGTAAGTAAGAATAACATTCAACACACGACAGCAGCAATGATAAGATGCATACGAACGCGCTATGCAAGAAGGGTCTAACAGTCACCAACAAAAGGGAACAAGATTTTGAGCATGTACGCGACGCAGGTCCATCCCCCGCTGCAGCCCGATGTGCCGCCGATCCATTGGGCGTCCGACTTGGCGGACGAAGGTCCCGCCGGAGCGGGGTCGACCGCAGCAGCCGGAGCGTTTAGGGTCTGTGAGTCTGTGGAAGGCAAACCAGACCCCTTCTGGGGATCAACCGGCAACTGAGGTGACCCATCGGACGCATCAGACCCTGGCAGGGTAGTTAATGGGGATGAGGGAGCAACACGCGGAGCAAAGAAGGGTTTCAACCGCTAAGTGTGGACGTACCAGCGGTGCGAACCCAACCGTATACGTACACATTGAGGACTTCGTACCTCTATCAAATCAACAGGCCCCTGCCATGGCTTGTGTAATTTGGGAGAAATACCCACCGGTACCTGGGGACAGTGAAGCCAGGCCCGGTCGCCTACGGCCCATGGCATTTCGCATCGCAATCAACAAGCGCACCTTTCATTACGGGCCTGGGTCTTTGCCTTCGCAATTCTCGCCGCCTCCCGTGCCTCCGTGACTTGGTGAATCGAATCGCGGACATGTTCTGGCAGGGTCAGCGCAGGTTCTTTGGCGGGCGCCCCTAGTTGCACGCCAATCAGCGGCACGTTTTCCTGACCGTACATGAGGAAGAACGGTGAGTAACCCGTAGAGGCATGCGGGGCCATACGGTAGGCGGACAGTACGCTAGGAATGTGAAGGTCCCAATTGGCCTGTTTTTCGTGCACCATGTGACGAAGCATGGCAGACAAAGTACGGTTGAACCGTTCCACCATTCCGTCTGTTTGCGGATGGTAGGGTGAAGTGCGTATCTTCTTTGTGCCCAAAGCGTCACATACGTCGCGTAGCAATTCGGCCCTGGTCTGCGATCAGCCATTCCGAAGCCCCCTTGTCCATCACATAACCGTTCAAGAACACATCCGTAATGGACGCCGCTGATTGATCGGGCAGGACCCAAGCCATTGGCCAACGCGAAAAATACTCCACCCCCACCAGCAGAAATTTGTTACCCCTGGCGGAAGGAGGAAATGGCCCGAGGATATCAAGAGCCACAAGCTCATTAATTTGCGTAACCATAATCGATTGTAAGGGTGGAATATATTTAGTGCGTGGGGGTTTCCGCCGAGCACATTCGGGACACGTCTGGATGGCCTTGGCGACATCAGCCGTCATGCCAGGCCAAAAATAATCTCTTTGGATCGTGAGTAGTGTTTTCTGCACGCCGAGATGCAACAACTTGTTGGCGTGCAGTGTTCGAATCAGCTCTTGTGGAAGCATCACGGGAACTACCAGGCGCCAATGGCCCAACAGGTCATCCTTCCACATCAATAGGCCCTCCCGAAAGGCAGCCTGGCAGAAACCGTCTTTGCACGGGGCCCTGTGGGGCCCGTCAGCCCGAGTTTGCAGCGAAACTAACGAGTCGTCCAACAGCTGCTCGCATATCCATACCGACCGTGGCAGGTTCAATGCACCGTCGGCCGGCCCCGGTTCCGCACGTTCCGCGGAGTCCACCCCCACGGACATGACAGGCCGAGGGGGCTGAGGAAGAACCGTGCACCGGTTAGTGCCGGACGCGCAGGCACAAGGGGAACCCCCGGGTAACCTGGAGAGCGCGTCCGCATTATCGTGGCGAGTATCTTTATGGTAACATATCTCAAAACAGAACTCGTGCAACGTTTCAAGCCAACGCGAAAGCTGGTCGGACGGTTGTTCAATTTTGAACGAGTATTGCAGGGCGGCATGGTCGGTGCGTACCAGAAAATTTCTACCATACAAGTAAGGCCGATATTGGCGAATGAAATGCATTATTGCCAAAAGCTCTCTGCGCTTAACACAGTAACGAGTCTCCGCTGTAGAGAGAACCCTGCTACCATATGCCACGACCCTCTCTGTGCCATTTTTACGCTGGGACAGCATGGCGCCGATGTCCGTATCACTGGCATCAGTGTCCAGGATAAGGGCAATGAAAAGTCAGCGCGGATGCCAACCGATCCCAGAGGGTTCGAAACGCCAATTCTTCCTCGGATCCCCATTTGAACCTCTGATTTTTCCCCGTCAGGACGTGCAGGGGCCTAGCAATGGTGGCAAAATTTGGAACGAAGCGGCGGTAGTAGGACGCGAACCCGACGAATCGACGCACTTCCCCCATGGAGGTGGGGGTCGGCCAGTCACGAACGCAAGAGGTTTTGTCCGGGTCCGTGGCGATGCCGTCGGAGCTTACAATGTGACCTAAGTAACGCACGGATTGTTGCAGAAGATGGCACTTCTTAGGCTTGAATTTTAGATTAGCAGACCGCATTCTATCTAAAACAACCTTCAAGCGTTGGAAGTGTTCTTCGAACGTGGACTGAAAACAATGACATCGTCTTAAGTATATGAGACATCTGTCCTATTGTAGCCCCGCCAACACCAGCTCCATCAAACGTTGGAACGTGGCGGGAGTGGCGTTCAGACCCATAGGAAGGAAATTAAACTCAAATAGGCCCTGAGGCGTACGAAATGCCGTCTTTGGTTTCGACGCCTCATCGAGAGGCAGCTGCCAAAATCCTGCCGAGAGATCGAGGGTGGAAAATAATTTCGCTTCCGACAAGGCAACGTCCACACCCTGTATAGTACCCGGTACGGTGGAGGACTCCGACGAGGCCGCGACGACATGGCTCGCCAACCTCCTCCGCTGAGTGACCGTACGCGGCAGACCCCCAGCAGCATCATGCGCGTCGCGAGCCGAAGGAACATTTAGTGCGCCGGAAGATGCATGAGGTGTCAGTACATGCCGGGTGTCCGATGCGCGCCGACTTGCCTGGCCAGGGATATGGTCCGACCATGTAGGCGACTCCGAAGGTGCAGTCACGGACGACGGAGGAGGACGGAGACCACTCCGGCAGTCACGCGCAAAGTGCCCATCCGCCCACACTTGAAGTACGTCGTCCCCGCACGTCGGGAGGCCCCCTCGGCATTCCCACGCGGCGTCAGGGCACCCTCCCGACGCCCCATGGACCCCCGTCGCGGCACCCAGCGAGGCGCGGCAGCGGCCAGATCCCCGTCATTATCGTCGTCCGGAAAATGGACGACGCGAGAAGGCGCCCAGCCAACCGGTTCTCCATCCTTGGCGGGGTCCCCCGTCCAGGCGGCCATCTGCTTCCACCGACGCAAGTTGACCTTTGCGTCGGGCACCTGGCGGCCCATCGGGATGTCAACGGTTCGTGGCCGCACACCGGTAGCGAGATGTCCATTTCCTTAGACAACTCCAGCATCTTAGCTAGATTCAAAGGGTCGAGTAAGTCGGCCGTGGAGTCGGGGTAGACGGCCATCGCGAGCGCCACGAGCGCGCCGCAAAAGGCGAGTGGAGACTCGTTGGCCCCCCGGCGCCAATGCATGTACTTCCTCTGAGCGTCAGACGGTGGTTCGTAAATTTCCGCCATCTCGACGAATGCGTCTTTCAGCGTTTTCTTCTTTTCCGAGGGAATAGATCGGAACACTGGCAACGAAACGTCGTCCAGCAATGTAGGTAAGGCTTTCAACGCCTCCTCCGTCCACTTCACTGAATAGAAAGCGGATTCGAACTGCTAAGTAAACGCATTCCAGTCGCCGCCCGCGATGAATTCTTTAATGTTGGGTAGGCGATGGCTGCGCCGAGCGCCGCCATCCTTGAGCAATGCCGCCTCCCCCAGGCGTGCGCCACGCGGTTCGGACAAAATGGCGGCATCGGGTGACACGCTCGCGACCGCGCCCAAAATGGCGATTTCGCACCACGTGGCGCCCGCCGTGGTCGTGATGGCGGCCAGTCCTTCCGAGACCGCCTGACGGGAGCCCTGCTCGCTTCCACTCGGCAACGTTTCCCGCGGTGGCACCGGCGCCACAGACGAGGCGACCATCGTGACGAGGTTTAGCAGAACAGCTTGAAGAGAATCGATCTGCTCCGCCAGCCGCCGCCAACCATCTTCCGCGGCCGGAGACGAAGACAGCTCCGCGCCGACGTCCTTGTCCGGTCCTTTGCTTGAGCCAGCCGCGGTTGCGGCAACCGGGTCCGTCAAGTCTTGGCTGAGCGGGTCATCATCGTCGTCCGAGGACGGCGCAGGTGGATTACAACAATATGAAATAACATGACAACCTGTGAATGGGCTATATTTAGTCTCCATGGAAATATCATGGTTCTTATTATTTGGGTCTTTCGGTAAAGTCACGTCGATAGAAAAAATAAAAACAATATACAAATAAAGACCCAAAGAATATGAATTCCTGCAGTCACCAAAGCTTTAAGTCAATATTTAACATGGTTCTGTTAAGAAAACTGATGTACTAGGGTGCACCACCACTGCAACAATGGGCAGCTTTTAGTTAAACCAATGGTGTAAGTTTCTTAAATTCCCCCACCTCTGTCCACCCAGCAGGACAAATGGGTACACCAGTCGCATGTGGTGGGGTAAAATGTGGGTACCCCCCCACCTCTTCCAACCCGTCTGGCCAGCCTTGGACCGTAGGCCAAAAACACCCTCTAGAACTCTCTCTGGTGGAGGCCCTTCCACCAGTAGTGTTGTCAGAAAGAAAAAACGCAGGGCTGCACCTCTACCTTTCACCTTGTATTTCGAGGAAAGCGCCGTGAAACCGATCAGTGTGTGGAATCGGCAACCCCCGAATCGCGACGATGGAGCGCATTGCGGAGCGTGTGACATCGTCTCTCACTGCCACCGTTGGCCAGTTGTTATTGGCGGTGTCGGTGACTGCGCGCCGACATGTGTGCACGCACGTGTATGTGTGTCACTCGTGCGTCCATGCGCCCGTTTCACGTGTGCCCCTCCCCCGCCCCCCCTGCAGAGCAGGGCGTGCTGGGCTGCCACGGTGACCTCACGCTCTACGTGCTCTCATCCGTGGAGCAGGAGCTCCCTGCACAGGCGTGCGAGCGAATCGACTTTCTACCGCACTACGACACTCTGGTGAAGAGCGGCATGTACGAGTACTACGCCAGCGAGGGGCAGAACCCACTGCGTGAGTTGCCGCCGCCTCCTGCTGCTGCTGTTGCTGCTGTCACTGTTTCTGCGGTTGCTACTGCTGTTGCTTCTGCTGTTGCTGCTATAGCTCTTCTTCTTGGTTAGGCTGTGGTTGATTAGCGCATTTGGCTACGTTCGGTACGAATGAAGTTCAACATACATAGTGTTGTTGTTACTGCTTTTGCTGTTGCCGCTGCTACCGCTACTTTTGTTGCTTTTGCTGTTACTGATTCTGCTACTGTTACTACTGTCACAGTCACTTTTGATGGTTTTGGTGGTGCTGCTGTGCTGTTGCTGATGCTGCTGCATACTGCTTTTTAAGCCACATTTTTTTTGCTGCATTTAACACAAAACAGCATTTTACAGAAGTCACCGGGTGGCTTGAGGTCAGAGCATTGAACCGACACTGCTGAGATCCTCTCGTTAATTATAGGTTCCTGCTGCTTTTGGTTAAACCGGGTTCTTCATTGTAAGGAGTTGATGGTCTCTGCGTGGCACCCAATAAACACGTAAAAAATCGCATTAAATTTGATTCTGTACTGAATTTGGCTAAGTTGGAGATCTGAGAATGAATAATATTGCTTTGTCCATGCATCAAACAGTACTCTGACAGTGGGTGAGAAATTGCTGCCCTCTACTGTGTGGAACAAAAAAACTCCACACATTCGTTAATAACACTGCTTGTGTGTGCGGTGGCATAGTGGTTCGCTCGCTACAAACACGGCGAGTGAGTTCGATTCCTGGCCACGGGTAACATCAGTGGCTGTTATCTGAGCCATTCCTGGGGTCACCCAAAGGGTGACACAACCTTAAATGAACATCTAGTAGTGCAGTGTACCAATATCACCACTGGGGAGACAAAGGCGAGTTGGCGTGCCCCCTTGGGTACCTTCAAAGATGCTCGCTAACCGCACTTGCCCATATAACGATCAAGGATGAATAATATTAACGTGTTTAAGCAAACGGATCGTCTACCGCCGGCTGCATTAAAGAATTAAGTTGAGTACCCTGGCCACTTATTTTGCTGAGCTGCGTGATAGCTATCAGTCCGGGGTACGGTGGCATACAAGTGACACCTCTCCCACAGTCCCACTTCTCCTGGTAGTATTTGTCTGACAGCTGAAGAAACTGAACTGTGGCTCATTTGAAGGCCAATGTAGACAAATTATTATCGAGGCTTCACCCCCCCCTCCCCGTTTCCTATGCGTACGTACATTGTCAGTAGACTCCCCATACGCAAGCGTATGCATTTGGGTTAACCCCCCCTCCCCCCTCCATGCGTGTGTACTAAATGAATGGCCTCTTAGTGCACTTGGCTATGAACCCAGCTACTACCCGAGTTCGATTCCCGCTCACGGCCAACGCCAGTGACGATTATCTTAACCAGTTTTGGGCATCCCCGAGGTGCGGTACTCAGGCGTGATGTTGGCTACCCACCCCCTCGTGTGCTGTTGGCCTTCGTAGGTGTCCGCTAACAGCGCTTGCCCCAACATTCCGTTTAAAATGATATAGGCGGATCTTTGTTTTTGTCTTTTCTTTGCAGCGTACGCCTTCGCTGAGCTCATAGACAATGCGTTGGCGGCGACGGCAGGAAATTCAGCAAGGGAGATAGTCGTCCGTCTGGTAAGAGGGACGTGATGCATCATTTCATACAAAGGCTTGCACGACCAACATCACTATTCACAATTGGATTATTTTGGGTTAGATTGTGTGGTCATGTCAATCAGGGCTGTCAATCAGGGCAAGCAATGCGAGTTGTCACATGGGCAAACTTGCTAGTTGGTTTAGTTTTTCAGCAGACCAGTTTCGTTAAAAAGGAAACAAATGATATTGGCAATTTTGTTTGACGTTTCGCTGGCGATAACAACCAGTGTCATCAGGTGCTTGCAAGAGTGACGCATTTTGGTGTCTCCACCCAGCTTAGAGGACATAGACAAAGTTATTTGCTAGCCAATTTCATTGCTCGGCAAGACAAGAGACAAAAATATGTTCCATTCACCAACCCGCACTGACCGGTGTGGTGAAGTATGGTCAACCGTATGCCCTCGAACCTCGAACCCTCTATGAATGGCACACCTATGTACGACTTACGGAAACTATATTGGTCATGTTACAAATAGGGTAAAGGGCCGATTAAACCGCACAGGAAATTGAGAAATATTACAAACAAGAACGTGAAAATGAGACGTAAAAGAAAGGCTTTTTGAATGCGACCACGACTCTGAATCATGACAGCTTATAAAATCGTTGTGTGAGTTAATTATTTATTGGCTCTGTTGCATCCTAAAGGTTTTTTTTCTCTACAAATAGTGACACTGCACTACAAAAATCTGTAAAAAAACAGTTTGTGAAATTTGTTTTTTCCCTGGCCACATCAGCTTATTATAATTAATGGCGCTAGTTTTTCCACTTACCCTTTATTGAGTTCAAACAGGATACTGCACACTCCCACTCTTCAATGAGAATAAGAAGGAGGCAAGCTTAGTTATTAGGATTACCGACTTTATTGATGTGTAGTGTATTAAATTACTCGCACTGACACGGAGTAACAAGTCACCTGCTTACACTTAATTAATTCTACTCTCGCACCAGTTGTAGGCACACCTATGACTGCCTCTCACTGTCCTCGCTGTCACCACACACAAACCGCTTCCTCCTACTACCCACTCTCATCTACCCCACACCCCACCTACTCTCTCCTATCTCGCTACGCTGCCCCGTACCCACTCACCCGTTTGTCCCGGGCTGGGGGTTCAGCCAACACCCGCCCGACGACGGCGTGAGGGGCGAGGTCCCGTTGACGGTTTGAGGGGCAGCGGCGAGATGTCTTCTCTCTTGGTCCCCGAACAACTCGTCGCACTCACGCGCACTCCCGCTTATATACCCCTCCTCATTCCGAGTCCTCACGTGCTCCCCACTTAAGCGCTTGTCGCACTCATTAAACCCTTATCATCGCCCCCATCTCCCGCCTCTCCGGCGCCAACCTCATGCCTTAACGTGCACACCTGCTCGTCCCCGATTGCACCCGCTCAACTGTGCGCACTACGTACATCTCTACTCTACAGATGTATCCGGTCCGTTTTGTCATTGTGCAAAAGAAAAAAATAAGTTTTAAACAAGCGATGGTGTGATTTAACCAATTTATATTTTTAGGTTTTTTCGGTAAAGTCACTTAGGTAAAAAATTTAAATTAATAAAAGTAAAATAAAAATCACGACGTTTCGGAGGCAACACAAGCTTCCGTCTTCAGGTGGAACCGTCACAGCACGATAGCTGTATCACTTGATCACTTGATGCAGCTATCGTGCTGTGACGGTTCCACCTGAAGACAGAAGCTTGTGTTACCTCCGAAACGTCGTGATTTTAATTTTAATTTTACTTTTATTAATTTTAATTTTTTACCTAAGTGACTTTACCGAAAAAACCTAGGAATATGAATCCTTGCAGTCACGAAAGCTTCAAATCTAGAATTAACCAATTTAGTTGAAACTGTGAACACGCCTCGGAGATATGGGGACTGTACGTACATTCTACTCGCGTATATTACTTGCACACTGTGTCAGTTGTTATTTTGAGTATATTCTTGAGTAAAATGTTGCAGTTTTTAATTAGTGTATTTCCATGTATTCCAGGATGCTGTATATTATTATAGATTGCTATTTCAGTTGCGACCTATAGGGAAGGCTGTAGAGCAAACTAGACATGATATGTGGTTGGTTCTCAGAAACCCTGCAGCCACTCCAGGATCACACCATTCCAATCCATGTGATATAATGATAAACATTGATTCTTACACATGTACTTCTACGCTTGCATTCTCAACTCAAATAATAATTAACAACCGGTGAATTGATGCATTGTTATACTCCTAAGAAATATAGGTAATTTGTTATTATTCATTGAACTGTGGTCCTGACTTGACCAGTGCGTGGGATTTTAATCGTTGCATGCATGCCTCTTAAATTAGCTCGCAAAACCGTGTCGCTTCCTCCTCACCCTGACCTTGCCGTCTGTTCATTTCTCCTCTGCCCCCCCCACCGCCCTCTCCTGTTCTGCTCTTTCTGCTCCGCCAGCTGTTTGACGAGACGCAGGGCCGGCCGGCCGTGGTGGTAACAGACAACGGTTGCGGCATGACGCCCCGGCAGCTCAACAACTGGGCCGTCTACCGGCTCTCCAAGTTCACGCGGCACGACCCCGACGCCAGCGAGTGAGCCTCGCCCCACGCCCCTCCCCTCGCCCAGCACCCCTCGCTCCTTGCCCCGTGCTCCCGCGCCTCGCCTCACCTCGCCTCACCTCGCCTCACCTCGCCTCACCTCACCCCCGCGTCTCACCTCACCCCACACCTTGCCTCGCCCCACGTCCCTCCCCTCGCCCAGCGCCCCACAGCCCTCACTCCTTGTCTTGTGCAATGCAACGGGACCCGTTCCCCATGCCTCGTCCCACACCTCACCTCACGCCATGCCTCACCACTCCTCACCCGACGCCTCGCCTCGCCCCACGCCTCACCTTGCCCCGTGCCATGTCTCCCGCGCCTCGCCAACGCACCACTTGTCAGCGATGTGTTTTAACCGAGCTACGTTTAGAGAGGCTCACTGAAGTAACCGTTCGCTACCTACTCTAATGGTGATCTGTTGCAGTGGCTGTTAATTTAATAGAGATATGTTTGGCAGGTGCACGTCATTCATGGAAGTAGCTTTTACATTGTAGATGTTATTTGTTAGCCGGGCTACATTTATTTTCTCAAGAGTCCCTCAAATACAGAAACTCCTTATGCGTTGTTGTAAAACATTATGGGTAAAATCGTATGCAAGCAGAGCTCTCTCCTGTCTCCTGTTATAAATAAATACCAATTCAGTCCATCGGTCTCTGGATTTTCACAGCAGAATTATTTGTTTATCTATGCGGAGACAGGAAACGGAGTTCTGCTTATAAATACTCTCATGGGGGACTATTACAGTGGTCATCACTTTAATAGAGATGTAAGAATGGCAGGTGCAAGAAACAAAGCAAACAGCATTCGCCTTGTAAGTGTTGTGTGTCAACCGTGTTACATTCATGTTCAGAGAGCCCGAGACTAGCGTCTATACATACAACTGCTTCTCTGAAAAATCAACAAGCCCACGGTTCGATACAGCACCTTGAGACCCGGTGACATTCAGACAGTTTATATACACATTGTAGTGTAATAAATTTAGGTAAACATGCAGCCCAGCATTAATTGATCATGCCTTTGCTGGCAGATGGGCCTCCACTAGAGGGACCTATAGAGAACCCCTCCAGTAAGAGGGCAGATGACCTAATCTCACATCCTGACCATATGTCTTGGAAGAGCTGTGGTGTACACACACATTTTATACCACGAGACCTGCTGATTGACTTGCTGTGGTGCAACCCATTTATATACTGCCGGGTTCACAGAGGCGGTAGGTTCGTTGACTCGGTCATTGTTTCAATGGCCGAGGCCAGGAAGTTGACCCTGCGACCTCTGCGTTGCGAGTACGGTGTGCTGACCCGCGTCTGCTGTGTTTGTATCGCCGTGCAGTGGTGGCTCGGGCTACAAGCCCCCGTTGGAGGTGATGCGCAGCATCAACAGCGACATCTCCTGCTTCGGCGTCGGAGGCAAACAAGCCGTCTTTTACATCGGACACTGCACACGGGTGAGCCGAGGGCCTCCCCTGGGTCCGCTCAACCTGAAATTAGAGCCCAGCAGGTGCTAGGTGGATTATTCCATTGCTGGATCGTGAGAGGTTACAGCCCACTGCCAAAACTAGTTGGGGTACGCAAGGGTCTTTTTTGTCTTTAGTTTGTTGTCCTTCCCCCGCACCTCTGATTATCACGGTTGGCTATGTCCGGCGCGAAAGAAGTTCAACATAAATGCATACACATCAGTCGCTTGTTGCAGAGGTGTTTATGGTTCGAATCCAGCGACCGCCCTGGTTATTGCTGTGAGTGTAGTAACTGCAAGAACATGCGCCGTCTGCTTCACAGTGGATGTTAAAGATGTATGACGTCATTTGCAAGAGTAGGCCGTAATTGTGTGCTAGTGTCATGGACCAAATTTGCTAAATTGCTGTAAAAACTTGGCAGGACCTTGCTGAAAAAGATTAGCAAGACTCTGCGAGGATATCTTGGGAAGTGCCGCGATTATTGCACTGCAGTACAAACCCGCTGACCCGAGTTCGATTCACGCTCACGGCCAAGACCAGTGATGATTTTCTGAACCAGTTGTGGACCTTCCCTAGGTCGACTTAGCTGCAAATGAGAACCTGGTGCGATGTGTAAATAAAGCCACTCGGGAGTGAAAGGCAGCCAGGCTTGATGCCGCCGCCCACCCCCTCGTGTGCCGTGCCAGCTTTCATAGGCGACACTTGCCAACAGCACTTGCTCCAACAGACTGTTAAGGCTAGATGGGGGATCTTAGTCTTTTTTATATATTGAACATCTCAAAAGAGTTTGGTGCGACGTGAAGAACGTGTATTGTAAGCGGCGGGAACTGGACAACAACCGGCTGTGGCCATGGCTTGCAGATGATCAGCAAGGCAGCCAGCTCCACGGACGTGCATGAGCTGTGCCTCTCCAAGGAGGACTTTGAGAGGAAAGAGCGCAGCAATGAGGCCATCTACAGCAGCTACATCCGCAACCGCATGGTGGGGAGAGCACCGCACTGACAGACACAAGCGTAGGGGGCATGGAGCCACAGACAAAGTTCAGGTCAAACTTAATTTGGAGTTTTCGTGACTGCAGGAATTACTCTTTGGTTCTTTCGGCAAAGTCACGTATAAAGATTAAATAATAAATAAAATGCAAGTATGCTAGTATTTAATTTATTAACTTATTATTTTATCTTTAAACATGACGGGAATATGAAATAAAATACTAGTATGGTAGTATTTAATTTATTATTTTATCTTTATATGTGACTTTACCGAAAGAACCAAAGAGTAAAGTTAAGGTCATCCACACTGTGCTTTTAAAGCCCAGTTTAATCAAAACTATGATTTTACTGCTCTCTGTGACCCCGTGGATCTCTGTGAGTCTGTGAGCCTTAAGTTTCTACATACGAGTCCACTGGGCTCTAACCGAGTCTGCCGGTCTCTATATGAGCTTATGGTTTCTTTGTGTGGTCATTGGTGACTGTGCTGAGATCATCAACTTGCATACACTTAAAAACAGCTTATTCACAGGCGGCTGCCCTAGATTCACATCCGATCCATGTCACTGCATCCCCGAGTCGCCCTGAACGTGTGCGTGTGTGCGCGTTGCCGTGTGTGCTCGCACAGCCGGGCGACTCATCCCACGTGAGCGCCGACGATGACCACTTTCTGCGGAGCCTGATCGCAGAGGAGAAGGGCAAGCCCAGCTTTACCAACGTGGTGGTGACGGGCATCGCACTGCCGCACATCCACTACCTCAAGGCGTCCTTCCACACGTGGACGCGCCAGCTCGCGTGCGTACCCCCCCCTCCCCCCTTCGGCTTCTCCCCTCTCTCCCCACCCCTGCCCCTATTTGATTTATTTAGGAACGGTAATACCTCGGTTAACAAATCATCTGGGAACGAAGCTCCTGTATAAGGAAGTTGGCTGTTGAGGGCCCCCCTACTATGCAATGATCTAAAAAATATCTTCAGAAATGGTGAAAATCAATTGTAAAGGGTGAAGCTTTATACGCTCCGCGTGTCCTATAAATACAATCGAGTGGGGTTTCTGTGCTGTTCATTATCAGGAGCCCATCAGCAAAGAGCTTCACAAGTCTCCCTCACTTGGCCCATTTTGGTCAAATGCGATCGTGTTTTTTGCAGTGATAAAGTGACTTTACTTACCCCCATTATGTCATCCAACTGACAATCGAGTGCGAGTGGCCTTACTGGGGAAGAAGCGCGGCGGAAATCATGTCTTCGGAAACGAAAATGCAGATCATAAAGGAGAGGAGTGGCGGGAGAGATGAAAAGTGATGTGGTGCGTTCCTTCGTGTTGGCGCAGTCCACCTTAAAGACCATTTTAAACCAAGCGGACAAAGTGAAGGCGATGAAGCAGCAATGGTTTCCTATTCTATACCCCCCTTCTCTGAGGTCCTGATACGCATCCCAATGTCTCCCATGTTACATCTACCTCTAGTAAAGAAGTTTCTGATAACAAAGTGACATCATGGAACGCATCTACTTTGTTGACCTAGGTATCTATATTTATAAAAGGGAAATTTGCGAATGTGTGTCTGTTCGAAATGTTTAGCGTACTTCCCGACATGCAACAAACTTGAAATTTGGCATGTGGGTAGCTTCCAGACTGTACACAATGCACAAAGTATAAAAATTGACTTTTGTATTTTGGGGGGGGGGGGGGTGGGCGCAATAATGCATATAACTTGCACGGCAAGTGAGCGGTGACGTCACATCTGTGATGTCACCCGCATGCGGCAGCGTTACGCAGTGTGCCTGCTGATGTCACACATCCCCCCCCCCCAAACCCTCCTCCCGCACAAATGCGCGGCGTAGCTGTCTTGACTATTTTCAGCTCGCTGTTAAATATAAAGCGGAAAATACATCTGTTTGTGTGAAGCAGCAAAAACTCTCGAACGCTGAGCTCCGAGGTCATGACATTTGCACAGCTTACGCTGTCTGGAATTTCTAAGGGAACGCGACTATTTTCAGCTTGTCACGTCATTCCCTTCCCGAGTTGCCTAAACCGACCTTGCGTATAAGTGGGTTAAGGTTTAATTTCCTTGAGTGAAAAACATCCGATTTAGTTAAATTGATTTGTTTCGGATTTTTTCTTTCTTGCAAGCATAATTATTTTTCAGGGTTTTTTCAGTGAAATATAAGGGAATAATATGAAATTAATCCTGGACAAGAATCCAAGTCCCGGGCGAAGCCGGGTAGTAAAGCTAGTACCTGTATATGATTGATTCATAATACACAATGACAAAAGCCAACCCTATTTCCCAGATCGTTTGATATCTCGCATGAAACAGATGGATTTGACACACCGTTCACACACACACACACACTGGCTCCTGCCCCTGGCCGACCCCCTTTGTCTTCCCAATCGAATGATGCCAGCTTTTTGTCGTCTGCCAGCTAGAACCAAGCCTATCCCAACCCCTCCTTATCAGTCGCAACTTGTTCTACTGTCATCAAAATTTCACAACCACTTACAATAACCCAGTTCATTTCAAATAATAATCGTCCGATGTACAATTTTATAACACGTCTTATAGGCTGCAGGGCCACATGGAAGGTAGCGCAAGACAATGCGGCAACATCGCTTGTTGGACCGTACTTTTATGCTCCTGTGCCAATGCTCCCTGCCTTCAGCAAACCCGCAACGATCGGTGTCGTAAATCGTGTTCAAATAACCACCATTTCCCGCACGGTGTGGCAAGCCCCTCATCGAGCAGTAGATTTCCAAACAGGCTGGAACGTGCACTTTGCCATGATCATTTGGGCGAAGCCTAGATCCCAACATACGAATAGATGTTTCCGATCGCGCCGTCTGGAAACATGGTTCTTTCCGGATGCCAACATAGCCCAGCACAGCAGGGCGTGTGATTGCCGGTGCTGTCTCCGCTTGCTGTTCGTGTGCAGACACATCTACCACTACTACATCCATGGTTCCCGTGGCAATGAGCTTCCCACTGCCAAGTTGGCTGCCAAGCGCCACGTGGCCTCCAACATCAACATCGAGGCGAGTGCTCTGCGCAATCCCACGCAAATACGGGCGCCTTGCAGAGCACCCACACTTTTACACTGCTGCGGTTTAGGGAATTTGCCACAGTTGCTGTTGTTGCTGCTGCTGGTGGTGGTTTGTGGCGCTGGCAGCATTGGTGGCTGGAGGTGATGGTGCCAGTGTAATTCATGCTGTTGGTATTAATGGCACTGGTAGTAGAAGTGATGGTGCTTGTGTCGATGATGCAGCTGTTGCTGCTGCTACTGATGGTAGTGGCAGTGTTGTTGATAGTGATGCTTCTGCTGCTGTTATTTCTGTTGCTCATGGTTATTGGTGGTGTTGGGCGGCGGTGTTGATGACGGCCATCGCTGCTGCTGCCACCGCCACAGATTGCTCTGTACGAGCGGCAGCGCGCGCCAAAGGTGGTGAACCTGCGCGAGGTGACGGACGACATGCAGACGCAGTATGTCCGCACGGCGTGCGATACCTTCGAGTTCCGCGCGCGCGAGTCCGGTAACTTGGGATCCTCCATCGAGGGTGTGATCCGCTACCACCCGTTCCTGTACGACCACGAGACGTACCCCAAGGACGTCGCCTTACCCCGCAGTGAGTGCCACGTAGTGTCTTAGCGGTATCACTGTCAGTGCTGCAGAGTGCCTTACCGCTTCCTACAAAGCATTTCATTATTCCCTCCCCACACGGCCGCAGTATTCTCTCCCCATTCATCCCATTGGTCTCTGCATTCATCCCATCGTCTCCCTGTTCATCCTGTTATATCTCCATTCATCCCATTGTTCTCTTCCCATTCATCCTATTGTTTTCTCCACCTTAATCCCATTGTTCTCTCCCCCTTCATCCATTGTTGTCTCCGCCCTCATCCCATTGTTCTCTACACCTTCATCCCATTGTTCTCTCTGCTGTCATCTCATTGTTCTCTGCCCATGTATCCCATCCTGTGCAACCCTATCTCCTCCCCGTGCATACAATTGATCTCTCCACGTCTCACCTCTGCCTGCTTTTCCCTGTGCATCCCCATTTTCTCTCCATCCACCCCCCGCCGTGTGGTGCAGACGAGCCACTCATGGACGAGGAGGATTACGATGTATTCATGCTGAACCCAACTCCACAGAGCAAGCGTCCCATGTTTGAGTGCTACTGGAACGGGCGGCTCATCCCCTACACCACAATCCAGGAGTGAGCGCTGACAATACCACAAGGCGATGGCGATATGAACACGGGAGACGCCGCATGACAACATAACACAGCAATACCACGCACGGAGACATCACGCAGAGACACCACATGGGAATACTACAAAACATTACCACACGGTGACACCACACAGAGATGCTACACGGCCACATGGCGACACCACATTGTGACATGGAGGCACCACAATGCGACAGCACACAGTGACAGAGTGTCCCACTTTATTTGGATGCTCAGCCAATTCCATTAATGAGGGTTTGGCTTCATTTGGGGAGGAAATGGCAGAACCCGGAGAAAACCAATCGCGCAAACGTTCGGACGACACTCAGCACTGCCATCTCCTGGCCACAACTCCGATTGCCGCACATCGTAGAGGTTACACCGTTGCACGTCCACAGCATTGTCCGTCATCCTGTTGCCTCCCGTTGTCGCCATGCCCCCCACCCCCGGCAGCTTTGAATGGTGCGAGCGGCCGAAAAAGTATGGCTCCGTTCCCCCCGAGTGCTACAACCGCATCTCGGGCTGCCTCTTCTCCAACGATCGGCTGCAAGTGAGCACCAACAAGCTGACCTTCATGGACTTGGCAATCCGACTCAAGAGCAAGGACACCATCTTCACACGCCTCGTGAATGGACAGGTACCGCCGCCCGCTGCGCCATTCCGTTCACAACGTAGATTTTTGTTAAGTGTTTATGGGGGGGGGGGGGGGGGCGGTCGGGGGAGTCACTACTATAACGTTCTTAAATATGATCCGATATGAACGAAACTTTAGTAAAAAGTTGTATTGCCATTAGCGACTTGCCCAAATGAAAACCGCCGGGCACGCTGATCAAAATGTAATTGCACAAAACTTGGAAACATGAACCAATGCAAAAAGGACCGTTTGCCGAAATGGAAAAGGGTATTGCCCAGACGGCTGCTTCTGAACAGGTATCTGTCTGCGTCGTCCTTCAAATTAAATGCTTCTATGTATGCATGATGTTTCCTTCCTTGTGAAAGAAAGCTGCCGGGGGCCGGCCGGTTCAAGTCTCCAGAGTTTGGAGCCAGTGTTATATGTGCTCTCCTTCGCTCTTCACTCTCCCTCACCACGCTGTCACACTGCGCCTCTTTCTCTCACACGCTTTCTAGCCATTCCCTTCCCATTTCATTATCGTTTGTGTCTTTTGGTCTCTCCTCTCTCACTCTATTTCTCTCTTGCTCGCCCTCACTCATTTTCTCACGCTCTCACTCAACCTTTCCATCACATCTCTCTCCCTCCACACTCCCTCTCTGCCACGGTCTACATCATTCTATCCACTTCTCCCTCATTTTCACTCACCATCCTGCACCCTGACCACTCCCCCCCCCCCCCCCCCCACTTTTGCTCTCTCAGGAGCAGCGAGCTCGCATTGAGCGCGAGTTCCTGCAGTGGCTCAGGGATTGCCATGAGCGCTACGACAAGCAGGTGAAGTTTTCGGGCTTCTGCAGCACATTGACACGCTCCGACGTGCCCAAGCGCATGCAGACGCCCTGGGCCGTGTTCTCGCGCATTGAGTGGGATGGACGCCTCTTCAACACCGGCGACCTGGTAAGCATAGTACGAGCAGGGGGGGAGAGGGGTGCGGTGATGTGGCCTCGCGGTAGTGGCAGCCGGTGGTGGCTTTGCACAAAAATTGGGAAACTCCGTTCTCGTGGGTTTCGGGGAGGTGCCATACCCTGGCCCACCAGGAGATGGCGACAGTAAAACCTTGGATTGCGAGCATAATTCGTTCCGGAAACGTGCTCGTAATCCAAAGCACTCGTATATCAAAGCGAATTTCCCCGTAAGAAATAATGGAAACACAGATGATTTTTTTCCACGACCCAAAAATACTGTGTTCGTATAAAAATGATTAATACAAAATACCTTTTTATATTTTTATTATTTATATTTAATATAGAGTAATAAAATGTATTAATACAATTTTATCGTGGCTGGTGTGAGGGAGACGAGAGAGAGGAGAGGAGGGTTATTGTGTAGGACGACTTTCACTTGCAGGACAGTTACTAAAGAACAGTTACTACACTTGGACACAAAATAAAAAAATGCTTACGCACACACTCGTGGTCACAACACTATAGTAAGCAGTATACGCTCGCACGGATGTTGACTATACGAGTGAGGCACGCCAACTGAGACCGAGCATGGGGTCACGTGACGCTCGGCAGACAAAGCGTATACTGTACGTACTACAGTAGTAGTCCTGTTGCAAGACATCGCTCGTTTATCAAATTAATATTTATTTAAAAATTTTGCTCGTCTTGCAAAACACTCGCAGACCAAGTTACTCGCAATCCAAGGTTTTACGGTATATGTATGGAATAGTGTTGCCATCACACGTGAGGGTTTTCTCTCGGTCGACTCAACCTCAACTTTGCAGTCCGTCAACATCAGTACAGGGGAGACAAAATTGTCCTGGTGCGGTGTGCTGCACACACCACCCCTTCACGCAGCATTTAGGCCTTAATAGACACCCGCGAACAAGACTTGCCCCGACAGTCTTGCATGGCTGTACGACGGATCTTTGTTGGTACGTGTGTGTGTGTGTTCATATACACATGCGCGTTTGTGTGTGGTTGGCAGGTGAAGACTATTAAAACACAGCCCATTTACTACGGTAAAATCCAGCGCTTCCTACTGTATGGCGATCACGAGAAGGACGTGTACGCCACGGGCGGGGAGATGGAGATCTCGCAGGTGAGCAAGTGCAGCTTCTGTTCCTCACGCATGCCGACCGGTATACTCTCAATGAAAGAAAACTTGCATAATGAGTATATTGCTACCGTAAAATATAAATGCTCTTGTAATGCAGTTAGGGGTGCCACGGTAGCGAGTTGTTAACTACCTCGCCTGGTATATAGGGGGACGTGGGTTCGATCCCAACCCAAACGCCTGTATATTTGGCGTTTGCATGTTCTTCCTGTGGATGCGTGCATTTTTCTCCGTGTCCCCTGGTTTATCCCTCCACATTTAGAAACACGCGTTTAGAGTATTTGGCTGCTATAAATTTCCATATGACAATAAGCCACTTCATAGAGCTATAATTTGTGGCCAGGCCGCTTCTGAAAAACAGCTCTATAGCTCAGTGGGGATTTGCTGGTAAAATAAAAATAGATAGTTTATTCTAGGGGTCCTAATGGCTGCTTGTAGATCAAGATGAACAGAGTACCGGCTTGAAAGTAGGCCATGATCTGCCAGTAAGGGGGGCAACGTTGCTATTGGTTATTCCGATTCTGTAATTTGTGAGTTGCTCGATTTTGGAAAATTACGATAGCGATGCTGGAACGCGTTGCCTTACTACTACTTTTTTCAAATGACGTCATGGAATCTTTTTCGTCCTCTGTGAAGCAGACAGGGCATGTATTTTACGGTCAACACACCCGCAGTATGAGTGTCACGATCTTAGTTAACTTTCCATTAAAATGAGTTCACATGTCGAACAAGCTGCCAGCACCTGGAGCAAAACGTTGGGACATCGTGCCATACAGCGCACGGTAAAACCGGAAAATACGTCGGAGAGCTGCACAGAACAGCTGTGAAAACCTCCACAGTGGCACAGTGAAGCCTCCATAATCTGGGGTAATGGTGGGGAGGGATAGCCCAGATTTAATTAAATCATATTACCAAACATACAGAAATTGGGCTCTAATCATGTGTTCATTGTTCACCTGAGTAGAATGTGTGTGAAGACGCAGAATGCTTTCAATGCTTTTATTCTATTGTTTCTTTGGCAATCGCCGACATGTTTGCAGTCAAGTGGGCACTGCTTGGCTGACCCTCGGTGACCGAGGAGCGGCTTGTAATTAATTGAGCAGAAAATATTAACAAATATAATTTGTGGAGACGCAGACCGTAGGGTGCTCCCCGCTGCTAGGAGGGGGTACGCATGTGCGTGGCCGTGATGGGTGTGCCTCAAATAATGCACCTCGCCTGGCACAAGCAGCTTGGTGACTTTATCAGTTTGGTGGCGAGTGGCGGCTTTTGTTGTGACAGGTGCATGTGTCGCTGTCTCTCGCAGGAGCCGCGCGAGTTGTACAGTGAGCTGCGGGTCGTGCCGCTGTCTAAGCTCGACCGTACAGCGTCGATCTCGCAGATCAAGAAGTGCATCGATGACGAAATGGCAAAGTGGGTGGTGTCCTCTTTATCTGGCTACACCCTCACACGAGCTTTTGTTTGCTCCGTTTCCTCTATTTGACTTGGAAAATCTCAGGTGTGGTCATTGTATGTTATTAACAGGGAATTTTTTGTTATTTAAATAGTGTATTTGACTCGGTACATTGCCTGGATATTTAAATTTTGAGTGGGGGACTCCCGCACAGGGGGTTGCTGCCTGTAGTGTAACGGTCAACACGCTGGAGTTGCAACCCAGAGGTTGCCAGTTCGATTCCATCTCCCAGCGTGGTAGTTTAAACAGTGGGGCAAGCTTCCTAAATCCCTTCCCGCCTCTGTCCACTCAGCAGTATAAATGAGCATAGTCCAGTTAGTTGATTGGCTGATCGGGTGCAGTAGGGTAAAATGTGGCTACTTCAAGATGTCCGGGCTAGTGTAGGAGAGTAGGCCAAATACACTCTGGATGGGCATTGTCTTGGGTTGAGACTCCATTGACACAAGCAATCAATTGCAGGTCTGCACCTTGTAACCTTTTTTAAAATTTAATGCATGGATATTTAAGTGTGCGTGTGTACTGCCGTGTATGTAGGTTTCCAGACAAGTTCCTGGTGACCTGGCCCGAGGGAGGAGAAGTGACCGAGAGTGATAAGAGACCGGCCGGCACCCCCATAGGTGAGAATCCTCGACGGGACTGGGAACACGAGGCTGTGTTACTCATGGCCGGAAGCGCGTTTCCCAACAGCGCAGCGGCAATGCAGGGGAGTTTAAGGGCGACGATGCAGCAGACAGAGCGGACAGTGAGCAGCATGCATGGCAAAGCGCACAACCCGGCTGGAGATGGAGAAGAATAAGCCACAACAGAGCAGATATTGAGCGTGTACTCATGGGGGGTGAAGCAAACAGCTGTTTGTGCAAGTGCTATGCCGTACGCAGCTGACCTGACTTAGAGAGCACATTTCATCCACATAATCTGCCCTCTCTCAAGAAAAGACCAATTTCTGGATCGTGGCACTTTTGTGGGTGACCCAAGTTTTGTTGAATGTGTGAATCATCACATGCTGACAGGGCCGGGACGGCGGTCTGTTCAAACAGCTGACCAGACAGCAGGCAGGCACTGCGCATAGCATCCCGACCTCGATAGTAAAGTCGTGTCAACAAACGCACACTAAATAAGTAATTTAACAAGCTAGAGAGATTGGGATGTTATCACTTGACCACATGCAGCCAATTCTGAGTGAGGTTCCTGCTATTATGAGTTGACGCAGATGACTGTACTGCGGAGTTTTATGGTGGTGGCGCGTGTGTTGACCAATGCCACATTGCCCAATGGTCTCCGCCGGCCCCTCTTGCAGGCCCCCTGCGCGTGGAAATTCTAAACAGGCGCGGTGACCCGATGCAGAAGCTGCCCGGTGGAGGCCAGACCTCCACTCGCAAGTTGCTGGTGGAAGCTCAAGATCCTGTTCCACTGTGAGTCTGCAGTCCTCCACCACCACCCAGTCACTATTTCTTGTTTACATTGAGTGGTGAGTTTGCAGACTTTTTGACCACGGTCAAAGGTCAAAAGTTCGTATACAAGTCATCATCATTACCCTGGGTCGATCGTTTTTTCCCTCATTCAGAATGAGCCTTGATATGATTGCGTACAACAAGAATGTCTGTGATGGCCATGCATAAAGAGTTGTGCACGTGGGAGGATAACATTCGATGTACACTAGAGAATTATACTGGTAGGAACCTCCTGGTTACACCAGCCCACAGGGGATTATTGTGTCCGTCCGTCGTGCATCCAAAAATGGGAGGGGTGGGGCTGGGTAGAGAGGGGAGGGTGGGGAGGGGCAGGGTGGGGAGGGGCTGGGTTGGCAGGGGCTGAGTGGCGAGGGTGGGGGTGGGAGGGGTGGGGCTGGGTGGGGAGGGGAGGGGCTGGTCACCCCGTGGTGCCCTTATAAAACTCAACGTTTAACCTACTCACGGCGGCTTGTGCCCGCCCTCACAGTCGGGCATATTTGCGGAATACACCACGCCGCCGTTGACCTTGGCCATTGACCGAGCAACCCAACGTTCCCACCAGCTCCCTCCGCAGGAATGTGTTTTAAATAAACTACTTGCTGTACTGCCACCTATTGGCCATCTTGCAGTTCCAGTGGATTTTTTGGACTTTAGCAGATGCAATCCAAAAACCCCTTGAAGGTTTTTAAATGCATTCTCGAAGCGGATGATGTGCGAGACGGGTGTCTGCACACCGCATGTGTTTGTGTTGCTTGCGTCGCTCACTGCAGCTACGAGCGGAGACAAGGAAATTGTGTCCCACATCAGCCAGCACGGAGGCAGCAAGTGGCCTTTCTGGTTTAAGAAAATGGGTGAGTCTTTCTCAATCACTCGATGTTGAAACTAAAGTCACGAGCCACAAAACGAACACCTCTTATACAATACAATTTGGATTCATACCGGTGGTTTTCATCCTTTTAGGTACCGTACCCCCCCCCCCCTCCACTCGAACGAACACTTGCAGGGAGATCACATGTTTACACTGTGAGTCAACATTGTCTTAGTAAGGCATTTGGCTCATGTTGTGTAGTATGTGGCACTTTAGTTCCACCTTGCAAATTCGAAAGTTCTCCTGCACAGGATCCATGCCGCAGCCTGTGACCTCCCTCTAGTCATTGCCTCCTACTGGCTGGCTAATGCCCCATGCCACCCTCGCAAATGAGACTATATCCTGGTTATCTTGAGTTCTCACCAGGTTAAACGAAACAAACTTAAAACTGAACTACGCTATCCACAGACACGTAACGCACGCACATTACACACACACACACATTCCCACCACACTATGCATGCTTATAGTCACGCTACACACTTTCCGCCCAGCATCATGAACTGCTTTTGCATTGGACACTATGCACATTGACGTTTCGTTGTTTGTAATGTTTGTGATTTTGCAGAGAACCTTAACAAGCGGGGCAAATACACACTGCGGCTGCAGGTGCTGAACGAGAGCAACGGGAACATGTTTTCCGGGCACCAACTGCCCTCGGAAGCCATACACTTCACCGTCACCGGTGCGTGTCACCTGCACTGCCACCGCTCCACGCCATCGGCACCACCAACAGCGGCTAACACGGGAGACCATGATAGACAAGAGACGGTTAATGACGGCGAGCCTACGAGTTGATCACCCGGATATGCGCCTGTTCTGGGCAGATCTGGGAAGCTAGGCTCGGGTTGAGTGAGCTTGGATGTTGCAAGATTTGGCGGCCACTGTGCATGACAGCTGCCAGAGGCTTACAGGGGTTCCGTGGTGCTACTCCCAATGCACGTGTTGAGTCGTGCGCATTGGAGTCGATTATTTTAGATTTATTGGAGTGGTATGCTAACGCCATACTGATGATAAGTTTAGGCTACGAGAGCGAGTATGAATTTACAAATATAGAAACGAAACAAAGAAACATTCCAGGTTATTGACAACCGTTTGCTTCGGTTGTGCCCGTCTGCCTTCGCATTGAAGGATGTTGACTCATTAGTTTTTCGTGGATGTGCTGTCTAGCTCTCCATTGTGTTTCCATTTGCTGGAAGCTTGTTCAGGAACTGAATTAAATAAATTTACTGAATCCAGTTCTTGCAGGGGCTCCCAGCACATCGAGCGAAACGTCGGACGTTGTGCAAAACAACGCGCACTACGTCCGGAAAACACAGAGTCCCAGGATGTTGAAGTTGTAATTGCTGATGTTCACTCCCACGCAGAGGCCAAGCCAGACAAGTTCACCGTGGGCTTCCTGGAGTCACCCTTTCTCATTGGCACCCCGTTCAACATTCCGCTCGACATGAAGGACGAGTTTGGCCACGACAGTTGCCCTCCAATGGGACTCAAGCCCATCCTGGAGGCAGCGTGAGTGCCCAATCGCTGTGTTGGCTCAGTCGAGATGTGATTCCAGTTCCCCTGTTGTCATCGTTCTGTAAGACGCGAGGTCCATTCGTTATTCTCACAATCAAAGCAGCAATCAAAGCATCAGCCGGTGTAAGAGAATAGCCCACAGGAAGGAGATTTCAAAGAATTGATTTTGAGATCTACTCAAGTAACCCCTTGGGAGGGCTGCAGTTTCCCACTTCTTTCGAGTTGTTCATCGCATGATAGTCAAAATTGATATTTTTTAGCTCTATAATATCATACAAATTTTGATTCATATGGCATAAAAAAACAGATGCAGTGTGGCTTATTTGACAGAGGCAGTCAGTCATCGGCAGAGGAAACAGGAATCTCTTGTATGGCTTTGAACAGGGCAGGTAGTCAACCCTACAGGTGGGTGGGTGAAAAGAGTTGCAGACAATGGGTATGACAGAAGAGAATGAGTGACCTCCCACACAGCAGAGGTTGACTTGGGGGCTTGAATAGGGAGCCTGTGGCAACATTCTTCAAGTCTACATGCAGTTGAGTTTGCGTGACGTTTCGTGGCTTACGACTCTCTAAGACACGCCAGCCCAATGGCTTGCCCATGTGACTGATGTTGCGGGATCCGTCTGCAACTGATAGCGCGGCTCTGGTAATTTCCCCGTAGAAATTAGCCGAGTGGCTGTAACGGAAATTGAAACTGTCAAGTCGGTGGTGCACATGCTCTCTGGGGCTGGCACACTGACTATTCGGATTACCCAGCCTCGCCAGTCAGGAGTCGGCACACCAGCTGCTTTAAGATTCGCTCACAGATACAGACAGAGAAACACTATACACACATACTATATATGCACACACACACACTAAACACAAACATGATACACGCACGCCATACATATATACACACACGACAAAAACAGCAACGGCTGCCAATTGCTACAAACCGGCAGTGACTTCACCACAGCGCTTGTGCCAGGTTAGATTTCCTTTGAGATGACGTGACGTGTGGAAGGCTTGCTGGCAGGAGGTCACTGGATAGACTCAGGTGTTATGGGTTCACCGACTGAGATGGCTGGCAGTTGCACCACTTGATAATACACACACACGTGCTGTGTACGTACACACAAACATGCTAGACACGTATATAACTACACACACACACACAACGCGCGTACATTGCGTTACGCACACATAGACACATGTTACACATACATGCTAACCTAGGGGAGACCCATGACCAATTCTGACATTGCTCGCCTCTGATGTTAGCCGCAGCCCAGAATCAAATCTCGGTCATTGGGTTCGTAGCTCAGTGGTTGAACTACCTCTCCACCCACTCCCTGCAAATATGAATGAATGCACACACACCCATAAACACATAAGCACGTACATATATATGCACCCGGCATGTATTTACATGTATATGCACATGCACAAAACCATGACAGAGATCCTTGGTGCAGCCTTACAGTCTGTTCGGGCAAGTGCTGTAAGCGAGCACCTATAAACGCACGCTCGTCGATACAGAAAGGCAAATGCTACATGTATATGACATTCTTTTTTTCTTGTGACGTGCCTTTATTTAGGCACTTGATAACACGCAAATTACTTTATCTGCAATGGCCTGAGGGTAACCCCCCCCTCCCTGGCCTGAGCCACAGAACAAATAAATCCACGTCCGTGTGCCGGGTTTTGGAAATCAGTTGCGACGGATGCAAACGGTCAGAGTTAACGCGAAACATGCTTAGGAGGAATTGAACACACCTGGTTTCTCCGAGAAGGTACAAAAAAGCCCAGACCGACTGCTTCCACTCCACATGTGGACTCAATGCACACAAATGAACTCCATAAGCGCACACACACACACAAGTTTCGCATAAATTACTGGCGCCAGCAGCCAGTCCCCACTTGCGACATATTTCTAAGTGTGCTTGACCCCGCTTGGCGGCGTGCAGCTCCATGCGTTTTACGGCATAGTTGGAAAAGCTTTTTCCTTATTGAGGGCCGAATAGGATCTTCTCGGTTCTTTCGGTAAAGTCACGTAGAAGGGAAGTAATAAAATAATAAAAAATAAAACATAATAAAATAATTCTCACGACGTTTCGGCCACAACGCAAGCAGCCGTCCTCAGGTGAAGAAGCAGGTCTGTCGAGAAGACAGCGTCTGAATGACACGCCCCAGGCTTGGAGCGTCTATTTAAGCTAGGTTGGAGCGGGAAGGTGCGCCTTAACAAAATAATTTGCATATCAATAGGAAGAAAGAACCAAGAAGATGAATCCCTGCAGTCACGAAAGCTTTAGGCCGAATAGGACTTTCAAATACCCTTAGTGGGTGACCGCAGGTTAAGTCACAAGCCCTGAACAACACTTGATGCTTTCGCAACCAATATGATTCATAAGAGATTTTTGGGTCGGGTCACGTGGAGTACAATTCCAATGTCTGTCATGCACCTTCCTCCACCCGACACAGCCAGCCAACTTTATTTATTTGGGTCTGTCGGGTGAAGGAGACTGCTATAAATTTCCACGTGATAAGCCACTTTATTGAGCTATCATTTGTGGCTAGGTCGCTTCTTAAAAAGAAGCTAATTGGTTAGGACTCTTTACTTGGTAAAATTAAAATAGGTTTTATTTTTTTGTGATTTGCTTCCCTTTCCTCTACTTTGCACACCCATCGTGCTTTCATATTGTTATAATTTTCTGACCTGCCCCTACTGGATATCTCTGAAAAAGAGCTGTATAGCTCTTCGGATTCCTCCACTATTAATACACATTCTGATTCTGATCTGACCCAAATACAGTGTATGAATCGCAAACGCTTGTCCCTGCAGTGACAGAAGTGACTGATTATGCTGAAACTAGCAGCACAACGTTGTACAGTATGACAGTAGAGTGTTCTGCACTGACCCCTGCTGGGAATGGACCCCCATGGCAACATACAACACCTGTGTTCAGAATCGTAATTGTTATTTATACTAGAGGATGAGCAATAAAGCACTTTTTCAAAGATGTTCAGTAGGGGCGAGTCAGAAAGTTTAAACAACAAACAATACGAAACACGATAAAGGTGCAAAGTATAGGAAAGGTAAGCACATCGCATATGGTCGTCGTTTCTCCACTAGGGTTCTGCATTTACATGCTTGGCCAAGTCCATTTATGAGTGTTTGGCTTATGGGAAGAAACCAGAGTACCTGCAGAAAATCCATGTGTACGAGGGGGTATCACTCACAGCCGTCTCCTGGCCATCTGTCACTATCAACTCTTACAATACCTGGACAGCCCTGGTGGTCGGCCATCCAAGTACTAAACCTAGGCTCAATGTTGCTTAACTTGTGAGATCGGATACATTTATGATGATTTGAATACAGACCACACGTCATTCGTTACCTGAGTTGGTGACTCCCGACAAGCTCAGATCGGTTTTAATTTGTGCGACCCCAACTCGCTCTCTGTATAATTCCGCACCATGTCTCCCTGCAGGGGCCTTGAGCTGTCTTATGATAGCACCGTCATCAGGGGCACCACCCTCCTGCTCAAGGGCGTCACCGCCAAGGGCACGGTGCACCACTGCCAGGGCAAGGTGGGCACACGCGTGTGCACACTTGCACACACACAAACACTGGCGCGCAAATGCGCTTGGGCACGCATACACATGCGCACCCGCACACATGTGCGCACATATGTTCACATGCGCGCACATGTTTGCACACATGGTTCCAGCCTCAGCGCTGCTTCCATTATGGGCCGCAGACGATAACGGTAGGATGCTTTGCTATCGTATCAAACCGTGCATTTAGGCCCGGCTCACAGTCACTCTTCCCTTGTCGTGCAGAATTTCAACCTCAAGGTGACGGTGCCCAACCTGAAGGAGAGCACGCAGATGCTCAAGATCCGCCTGCTGCCAGGTTCTACACGCTTGCGCGATGGGCAATGTCCGAGTGACACTGCTTGACAACGCTCATGTCTGCTCGTACACGCGTACACGCGCAGCCCTTTTGTTACTCATCTAACGGATGAGGGCCTCCCCATGCTGTGCAAGTTGTTGGGGGTTGTTTGACCATACATTGGCACACTGGTCAATGCCCGTTGAAGTGGGTGACTGAAAGTGGGAATCGTAGACCTTGGGGCCTAGTAGTTCAACGCAACAATGGATTTTACCCCAACAGTGTGTCGACTGGACGGGGAATTTCTGTGCGTGAGTATGTGTGCAGGCATATTAGATTCCCGCTCTTGGCCAAACTCAGTGACGAATATTTGAACCGGTCTTGGGCCTCCGCGAGGTGAACTCGGCCGTAAGAGTGTACCAGGTGTGGTGTGTAAACATCAGCACTGGGGAGACAAAGGTGGCCGGGTGTAGTTCTGGCCACGCACACCCCCTCGTGCGCCGTGCCGGCCTTCATAGGCGCTCGCCAATAGCACTTGCCCCAACAGTCTGTGGGATCTTTGACTCTCTTTGTATGTGTGCAGGCCCGCCCAGCATGCTGAGGGTGAAGCCCGAAGCGGAGCTGCTGCTGGTTGAGAACGGTACCGCGTTGCACTTCACGGTGGATATCATGGACAAAGCGGGGAACGTCTCGTCTCTGCCTAAGTTGATCATCCAGTGTAAGGTGCGAGGAAGCTCGCAGTCACGGTGATGTGTGGAGCAAGCAGGGTATGCTCACGGAGCACCTACATAACTTGGTGGCACTGTGCCGCAGAGCGTTCACTAATTGCATTTCATTAATATGCGTACGTATATGTGTGTGTCTGCATGTGTTTGCGTGTGTGGGGAATGGCAGTGCAGTGGTTAGTGCCCGAGTTCGAATCCCGCTCACGTCCTACACACGATTATCTGAAATTGGTCTTTTGCCTCCCCTAGGTCGACTCAGCCTCAAATGAGTACCTTGTGTGATGTGTAGACAAAGGTGGCGGGCATTGTTCTGGCCACTTCTGCCACCTCCAGCGCCCTGCATAGATGCTTGCTAACACCACTTGGCCCCAACATTCCGTAACTTTGAATGGGGCCTCTTTGTCTTTGTCAGTTTGAGGGCGCCCCCGGTCTTCCCGTGTACATGGCGGACTGCAGCAACGCCAGCTCGGCCACTCTCACGGGGCCTCCCATCCACATCGCCTCTCTCAAGGAGGATAAAATCATCACGGCCTTCATTAGCATACAGGTATCAGTGCAGCGTCCTTGCCATTTCGTTTGGCGCAGGCTACGGATACAAGCAGATCACGCAGTACGATGACAAGATTTCCTTTTGGCATGCTCCGAATGGATAGACTTTCATGTGCCCGCCACACTACTTGGGTGTGCCTAAATTCCTTGTGGAGGGGCACCTATTACCTCTCATGAAAAAAGATATTTTGAAAAATAATATATTGTGAAAATTAATGTTGTTAAAAAATATATATTGTGAAAAATTACGTGAAATTTAATATTAATTTCATTTTTTACCTACGTGACTTTACCGAAAGAACCTAAGAATATGAATCCTTGTAGTCACGAAAGCTTCAAAACTAGAATTAATATCTTTTCATAAAAATTAACATCATTGGGGAATTTTATAAATAATGTATTGTCTCGTGATAAATCCAACGGCATGTCGTTTCGTGAGCATTGACATCGCGGCGTCCTGCCGATGCGCCGCAGAACAACAAAGAAGTTCCGCCGGTGGAGCGCAAAGTGAAGCTGCAGCCCAGCAGCCGCGCCGCCTCCATCCAGATCTTCAACCTCGGCAACAACCGCGCCACGCTCATCCGTCCAGCCGACGAGATCAACTGGCCTGCGGGCGAACACCTGCGCAATCTCCTCTACAAGCTGTACGACGAGGGAGACCGCGAGATCATGGTCAACGCCACGCTTGTCTCCAAGATGCGGGTGGGGTCCCCCCCCTGCCTCTCCCCTTCGCTCGCATGCGTGCTTGCTCGCGCACTCACCCCCCCCACTCCCGCCCTGTCATCTACCTGCCCTGTCACCCGCTCATTCGGCTGCTCATCCTGCCACTCGCCCGTTTACTGTCACTCACCTTGCCCTCTTGTCTTACTCGTTCATTCGCTGACTCGCTCACTTACTCGCCTGCCTAGCCTCTTGCCTGGGTTCTCACTCTCCCATTCACTTTCCTGCCCTCTCTCCCCCTCACTCACTCAAGCTCACCCTCTTCGCCTACGTTCTGCTCACTTATTCATTCACTTGCCCTCTTTACCCTCTGACTCGCTTGCTCATCCTGTTACCTTCTTGCTTTCTTACTCTCTTGCTCTGTAACAAACTCATCCTATTGCCCGTTTGCTCTCATTCCTGCTTGCCCATGTGCTCTCTCGCTCATTCATTCATTTGTTCACTTGGGCACGACATTTGGTCTGGCTGACTTGAGCCTGGCATACAATGACAAGTGATGAATGGCCCAGCTCGATATGGACATTCTGAAAAGTTTAGGCCACACGGGGAGAGCCCATATTAAACGGTCGTTAAGAGATGGTTCCGTCTGATGATTGCTTTCATTTCACCTGCTGGACGCTGAAGGTGACGTGGACCCCCAAGGTGAACCGGGAGTTACTCATGCAGGGCCTTCTGCCGGACGTAAAGGTTCCCACGCTCGCCAGCGAGCCCAAGTACTGCCAGATCTTCTTCCAGGACGACAACAACACTCTGGAGACCTCCTTCACCATCAGGTGGGCGCTACGCGGCAGGGCGCACTGTCAGCAGTGGTTGGCATGGTGCCAACCACAATCGGGCCCCGTCTCTGGTGCGTGGTTCTCAGTGCAGTTGCACCGCCTGCACACTCGATAGATACACGACTTGAGTGGTGATGCTGTTTATCGGAATTTGCCCAGCACTCTCCGAGCCAAGTTAAGGCACAATGATATTATTTAATAATCAGCCATTATTAAATGATAATAATCAAACAGAAGTTTGAGCTGGGTCGATAAAACTCCACGCACACAGAGACACTTGGTGGTCTACAAAAGTTGTCATTCCAGCCTCATCTTTACCGCTTGACCACAGTGGCAGTGTCCCTGGTGTTCGCCATCACTTCGGCTGCAGGTTGCAATGCTTTCGTGATGTGCTGTTGAAAATGGCTTGAATTTTATTTTTTTAAAATTCGTCAAACGACTTTAGCTTTAGAATAACCCTGCAACATTCAAACAGTTTAATAGAGGTGTCCGTGTGTGTGGGGAGCGGGTAGTGCAGCGGTTAGTGCGCTGCGCTATGAACCCAGCGACTCGAATTTGATTCCCGCTCATGGCCAACACTCGGTCGACATAGCCTCAAATGAGTACCTGGTATGATGTATAAACATTGCCGCTGTGGCGGCATGGTGCTGGCCACCCACCCCCTCGTGTGCCGTGCCAGCATTCATCGCTAACAACACTTGCCCCAACAGTATATTAAGGCGATACGGGGGATCTTTGTCTTTGTGGTCGATCGGTGGGCACAGAGCCATCCCGGATGAGCCCAAGAACCTGAGGGTGACGCTGAAAGGCTTACCCATCATACAACTGGACGAGATGCTGAGCGCTGAGATCCGTGAGTGTGGAAACCGGCAGCCCCAACCGCAACCACCGCGCCACTGTTTTCCATCTCAACTGTGGTCATGCAATGGTTCACTCCTCATGCTGGCTCCCTCACGGCGCTCGGTCTTTCCAACTGTTCGGAAAATCTGCTCCTTGCTCCTGCTGCCTCAATGCGTCGCTGCCTCTGAGTTGAGTGCAGTCCTGCCCTGTGCTTCTTGCTAGAGCTCTTTCCACACATTCGCCGTCCGTCTCCAAAATTTCCACGATTGGTGGTCACATTTGGGTTCACTCGATGAATCGAACTTTAGTTCTTTAAAGGCACCTTTCTTAAACCAAGACCCCCCTCTACATTATTATTAAACCAATGTTCTCTTGCATAGTTTGTGCCGCTGCAATTATATTGGACCATCTCGTTTATTTATTTCGTTTGTTTCGTCTCGCTTGTTTTTGTTAGCCTCAAGGTTTCATTTGGATAATATTTGCGTGAATTCTCAACAAGCAGTTATCACCAATGCTGATTTCTACACATCATCGTCGGCGCATTTCATCAAATTCCTTGTGGGATGAATCGTGGCACCTCTGCTCTTCTGGATAAGCAATGGCCATTATTATTATGATTACTTGTAACTGTATGTTGCATCATTGTTTACGTTAATAAGGGAGTACCTTTGCTCAACCAAATGGTGCAAACTCTACATTCCTACAACTTAGCATATGTAGAACACCAGACCATGGTCACCAGCATTGCAAGCCCAGTGCCGATTATGGGGCTCGTATGGGTGGTTAGAATAATTAATTAAATGCTTCTTTACCTCCTGCTCTGTCCCCTACCGGCCACCAGAAAGCGCCGCTCTATCCAGCAGTTTTCTGATTGGCTTCTGATGGTCATATGGTGGGATTTCTTGTTGTTTAACCTCCCTGCCCCCCCTCTCCTCGACTGACCTTCGACCCCATTGCCCCTCACACTCCCGACAGTGGTTGAAGTGACGGATCAGTTCGGAAACACCGTGATGTCGTCCGGCTTCGCGACGGCGCTCAATGTCTCGGCCAAAGGTCTCGACCTTTCGACGCTCAACATGAGCTGGCAGGTGCGTCCGCTGCTCTGGCGCCCACGTATCCCAGCTGCCACGGTCACCATGTGGATGTGTGTGTGTGTATGGGGAGCGGTAGCGTAATGGTTAGAGCATTGCACTACCAACTCGGCGACCTAAGTTGGATTCCCGCTTATGGTCAACACCAGTGACGATTATCTGAATCGGTCCTGCGCTTCCCCTAGGTCGACTCAACCTGAAATGAGTACCTGATGTGATTTGTAAACCGCCACTGGGGGAGACAAAGGCGGTTGGGCGTGGTGTTGGCCACCAACCCCCTCGTGTGCCGTGCCGGCCTTCATGGGTGCTCGTTAACAGCACTTGCCTGTTAAGGCTATACGTGGGATCTTTGTCTTTTGGATCTGTTTCCTGTGGTTCTTTAGTAAATTAATTAATGGCGAAAGGGGTTGCCAGCCCCTCGCACCCGTCCTAGTATTACGGTTACCCACGGGGGTGGATGTGAGAGACACTCACAAACACCACAGTGTTGTTGTCTGACATGACGAAGCGGTTGGGGTGGGTTTGCCACCTGGCACCTCATCTAGCACAAGCACAGTGGTGATGTCACCATCACCTAGTGGTGAATGGCAGCTGTTTTTGTTGGAGTGTGTGTGGGGAGCAGTAGCATATCAGTTATCACACTGCTATGAACCTGGCGACCCACGTTCTATTGCCACACATGGCCAACATTGGTGATACATTTCTGAACCTCTCATGGGGCCTCCTGTAGGCCAACTCATCCTTAAATGAGTACTTGGTGCAAGGTGTAAACATCAGCACTGGGGAGACAAAGGTGGCCAGGTAGATTTCTGGCCATACCACTCCCAAATTTCAGAATTTACCCGCAAATTACTTGAATGTAATATACACCACAGCCATCGCCACCAACTGCGGAAACTTGGCAAGATCCTTCTTGAGACTCGGTCGGGTTTCCTTCGGTAAATAAGCATAATAATAATAATTGCACGCGCGCGTGTGTGTGTGTGTGTTTGTGTTTTTCAGGAGTGCTCCGGCAGCGTGCTGGTGAAGGGCATTCGCTTCCAGTTAGGCCCCCTGGGCCCCAGGGAAATTTTATTCTCGCTCAAGGACCTTAAAGAACACCTCATAGTCACCCTCGACGCGGGCCAGCCCGCCACGCTGCAGCTGCTGCCCTGGCACGACACGCAAAAGGCACTTGCACTCTTAATTATTCGCGCTCACCGCCAACCGTCGCAGACTTGGTGCAGCATCTGAAAACAAAATTTACTCTGCATTCTGCAGGACAATATGATGTGGGCTCATGTAGCGTCGGAATGTGACCCACCGTATCTTGAGAGGACGAGCAGAAACGGTGGGGATATTTATTTTATGGAGAGAAAATAGGGCAGTCATTCGGTGAAAGACAGAGGGAAGAAAGCAAGGTCGTGAGACCCTGCACTTGAACAGAGGCCGAGGCAGCACAGATGGCAACATACGGTGACAAATAGACAAAAATAATCGATGCTTGAGTCATGACAATGCATTGAATCACTGGGTGGGGGCTTGAATATTAATGAGTATTTACATATGGGAGGAAACAGGAGGACCTGGAGAAAAGCCACATGTGCAAGGGGGGAACTCTGTATCCTGTACAGATGGAACAGTTGGAGATTAGTCCACAGCTGATGTATCACCTCCTGGAGAGCCCAGCGTATGGTACCACAGGAAGGGAGTTTTGCAACATTCTTGTGTCGCACCATCCCTCGCCTCCACAGTGCCAGACTACAGGTGTGCATAGACACCACCACCCATCACTTAGCATCTCTCTGCTCCAGCGAGCATGGGACTGCCCCTTGGGTACTAGCTGACATAAGGATAATGAAATGCAGTATTGGCTTAGCTGCCCCGAAATTTCCAAATCTCTCGACACGTGTGATGTTTTCTGAGCACATGTGCAGTGCGTGGGTCGACGCGAGGTTAAAGTCAATAATCGTCTGTGCTCATCTGAGTTGCTAATTGTGTTGTGTGCCTGTCTTTACGCGGTGAGTGGTGGGGTATGATGGTTGGCCAGCAGTGCAGAACTATGAGCTCAGGATCCCGGTTTCAATTCCTGGCCATGATGCTCGTTACCGATGTCAATTGGAATCGGAGCATGGCCATGTTCTGAAATGAGTACCTAGTCTTAGTGTAGTGATCTCAAAAACATTGGCATTGTGGAGATAGAGGCAGGCAAGCGTGGGTGTTGCTGGCGTTGTGTGTGTGTGCGCGCGCGTGCATGTATACGTATGTTCGAGCGCATCTGTGTGTGGGTGTCGAGCGCTGTTGTAGTCGTTAGTGCACTGCATTTCAAACCGGTGACCTAAGTTCGATTGACAACTACAGTTAACATCATTGGTGAGTGATATTTGAACTGGTCTTGGGCCTTTCCCTAGGTCATCTCAACTTTAAATGAGTAGCTAGTGCTGTGTGTGTGTGCATTTGGGTGTAAACATCAGCAACTGGCCAGGTGTACAGTGTTGGCCTTCATGGGTGCTTGCAAACGGCACTTGCCCCAACAGTCTGTATAAAGGTTATATCGTGGAGATCTTTGTCTTCTGTGATGGTGTGCGTGTGCAGCCCATCACTGTGTACAACTGCAGTAGCCTGGAGAAGCCCTTGACGGTTCAGCTGTGCGACAAGTGGGGAAACCCTTGCCAGCAGCCGAACGTCCGTGTGCAGCTCATCACCCCGCACTCGCTCAAGGTCTGTTCCAGCTTCTCCTTCATGTATGAGATCCCAGCTATGTCGCTCAGCGCTCGAGCAAGCTGCTCGCAATCGGAAGGCCGCGAGCTAAAATCCTGGTTGGTAGTTGTCTCAGCCCAACATCCCCTGCGGGTCAATAAAATAAGTACCGCTTCATGGGGAATAGTCAACATTGGATGTCCTAGATATCGACTCGTCGCCACCATACGAATGTGAAACTTCCACCACTGGCTCAGGACGGTAAATTGGGGGTAATTTTTTTATGGATTGGGGAAGAGAGTTTTCAAGGCTGGGGAAAGACAACGAAAAGGCACTTTCCTGACAATGCCCATGCAACACATCAAGGCACCCATGTGGCACATCAAGACACCCACATATTCCATTAAGGCACCCATGTGACACCTACTGGACTTCGAAAATAGAGATGTCTCTTGTCCATTCCGAGGTCAACAGGGGGTAGTGTGCTCTTAGAAATGACTTGGGCATTTGGGGAAACGCCCTCTGGACTCGGCTTACTTTCTTAGCATTTTTTTTCACTCTGATGGATGAATTATTCAATGCAAAACCAAAGAAATACGTCTTTGGTTCAATGTGATTTTAGCAGTGGATGGAATCGGCAGAGACACCACGGCATTATCGCAGTACATCCCAACGAACCTCGATGGATGAGAGGGTTGCGTTGTTGATTCTGTAATGGCCCTGTAGTCTACACGTTTCTGCACTGTACAGGTTTTATATGCTGACGACTTAACGAGATGGGTGCCATACTCGGGGATTTTTTATTTGAATAAAACGGAGATGGAATACACGGATTGTGGTGAAGCATGCGGAGTGTATCCTGAGAAGCACTTTCCCGGGTCATCTCGACGGTGCAGGCATTGCGTGTGGATTATTTATTTAGTTAGCGAATTAGTTTTGACACCGAGAGTCACACCAGAGTCAGAGTTGGTAGAATTCAGTCACGACTGGTTGGATCGTTAGCTTCCCCTCCCCACCCTTCCCTCGATGGGGACCCGGGCACTGACGGAGAGGAGGTGGCATGAACTTCGAAGCCATTGCCCCCCAGCGTGTATGCACGCAGATGTGACTTGTCTTCAGGGAGCGGTAATGCGACGGGAAAGTGTGTCCCAGCCACCGCAGTCACCATGTGGATGTGTGTGTGTGTATGGGGAGCGGTAGCATAATGGTTAGAGCATTGCACTACGAACTCAGCGACCTAAGTTGGATTCCCGCTTATGGCCAACACCAGTGACGATTATCTGAATTGTTCCTGAGCCTCCCATAGGTTAACTCAACCGCAAGTGAGTACCTGGCGTGATGCGTAAACATCGCCACTGGGGAGACAAAGGCGGCTGGGCATGGTGAGGGCCGCCCACCCCCTTCGGTGCCCGTGCCTGCCTTCGTAGGCGCTCGATAATAGCACTTTCCCCAACAGCCTGTCAAGGCTATAGGGGGGAATCCTTGTCTTTGATTTGTCTTCGTGCCAGCAAAAGTGACACTGCGCGGTGAGAAGAGCACAGGAGCAACGTCAATTACGTACACGTGACGTCACTTCTGGTTTGACACCGTATATCCGAAATTTCATACCTAGGCCATGCTTTTTAATGAACCGAAAATCGGAAACACCATGCCTGGCCTGCGTGCATGTACGTTGTGCGCTATGTTGCTGGTGTGTGCTGTCGCGCTGACTCCTCGTGGCTGTGTGGAACAGCTCTCTCCGGCTGCCACCACTCAAAAGACGAACAAGCAGGGGAAGGCCGAGTTTGGGGTCCTCCAAGTGAACGCGCCCTGGTGAGTCAGCCATTCCACGCCGCGTCGCATAGCAGGGGCAGAGGTAGAATGTGAGATGGTCCTGGGTCGCCTCTAGGTCGACTTGGCCATAAATGAGTGCATGCTGGGATTTGTAAACGTCAGCACTGGGGAGACATCAGTGGTCAGGTTTGGTGCTGGCCACAACACTCATAGGTGCGCTGTACTGGCATTCATTGGCGCTCACTAACAACACTTGCTCCAACAGCCTTTTGAAGGCTACTCGGGAGAGCTTTGTACATGTATGCGTGTGCTTGTGTTTTTTTTGTATAAGTATGCTTATGTGTGAGTGATAAATGTATGTATGTTGACCAATGTGGTGATGTAGGTCACGTAAACATCATGACCCACCCAGAGTGGAGAGGCCCTTATCCTGCAGTGGGTTGAAAACACTGGCGGTACATACACATGCATGTATAAAAATGTGTGTATGTTTGTGTATTTATGCTGTGCACACCTGTATGTGCATGGCGAGTAGTGGCGCAGTGGTTCGCGTGCAAGGCAACGAACCAGATTATCAAAGTTCCATTCACGCTCGCAGTTAACATCGGTGAAGAATATCTGAACCGGTCCTGGGCCTCCTCTAGGTCAACTCAGCCTTAAATGAGTACCTGGTGCGCTGTGTAAATAGCACCGGAAAGACAAAGGTGGCCGGGCGTGATATTGGTCACCCACCCCCTTGGGTTCCGTGCCGGCCTTCGTAGTTGCTCACTATCAGCGCTTGGCCCAACAGTCTGCTAAGGCTATACGGGGGGGGGATCTCTGTCCTTGTGTGTGCGGCACACTCCAGCGGAGACTTCACGCTGCAGCTGAAGGCCCACGTGGGGAAACAGGTGCTGGAGGGGCCCAAGATCCTCCTGTCGGTGCTGCCCGATCCCAACAAAGCCGCGCAGCTCCTGGTGGACTTCAACAAGCTGGTGCAGCACACTGTGGGAGGCATCCTCACAGGCATGGCTACCACACACAGACTGCCCAGTGTGGGTACATTGTGTGTGTATGTATGAGTGTGCTTGAGTGTGGGGAGCGGTGGTGCACCAGTTAGCGCACTGTGCTACTAATACGCGACTCGAGTTCGATTCCCGCTCACGGCCAATAACAGTAACGATTATCTGAACCGGTCCTGGGCAACTGCACCTCAATTGGTTATCTGGTGTGATGAGTAAATATCGCCATTTGGGAGGATAAGGCGGTCGGGAGTGCTGCTGGGTCACCCACCTCCTCGTGTGCCATGCCGACATTGACACGTGCTCGCTTACAGCACTTGTACCAAAAACAGTCTGTTCAGGCACCTGTGGGTGATGTCACCTCCACTTAGTGGCAAGTGGTGGTGGTTGTTGTTTGGGTATATTTTTGTCTCTGTGTGTGTCTGTGCGATTATGGAGAGCAGCGGTGCGATTACAGGTTTTTATTCCTGGCTATGCATAACGCTAATTACAAGTGACAAATGAATCTGTCATCGGCTGATGATTACATAACTGGGAAGCAAAGGTGGCCGGGCAAGATGCAAGCCACATTACTCCTCTGTCTTGGCCTGAGTAGGTTCTCGTTAAAAGCACTTCGCCACTAGAGTTCAAAGGGCTAAATGGGGATCTTTGTTTTGTGTGTGTACATATTAGTATTGTCATGAGTGGTTGATTTTGTCAATAAATAGTGAGCGAACCATCATACTGATCCCTTGCCAGCACAGCTGGGCTGCTGGCTTTGAATCTGCGTACCCACTGAGATTAAACCAACTGCTCAAGTAGAGCGAGTTTGACCAGCTCGGCCTGGTCACCAATCATTGCACGAAAGAAAACTGTTATGAGTTAACCACTGAATATTTGTTTAGTCTCAGGACACTTTTTTTCAGATGCGTCCTGCATTGGGTTGTTTGTTCATCGCCATTAATGAGAATTTCGCTTCACATGTGAGAAAACTCTTAAGTACCCGGGTAAAACCCACCACACATATGAGGCGGTAACGCTTAGATCTCCACAAAGATGGATTCAACAATCCATGCTGTACTGCTATATTTTGGCCACCTCGCAGCCTAAGCGTATGAGTCAAAGTTAAATCCTACTCAACTTGTTGTTGGTTGTGGAATTTTCGCATTAATATGGCAGGGGCAAGTGTATCCACAGGACATTTTCTGTATTCCATACAAATTGAAACTCATTTTATTGACCCCGGAGGGATGATGGTCGAACGCTCAACCCTCGGATTGCAAGCCGCTCATAGGGCGGTTTTCCATCCAAGTACTGGCCACACTAAATCCTGCTTTAATTTCTGAGTTCCGACGAGATCGGGCCTGTTCAGGACCATTTCATTTAACATTTTGCTCGCGCTTGCACGTTTTCATCAAATTGCTGCCTTCGTTTTGGCTGTTGCAGCTTAATGAGCGGTTGAATGATTAATGACGGATAGAGGTTCCCAGTTGCGACACAGCCAGTGTTGTGCTTGAGCCTGGTTGTCGTTTCTCGAGATTTGTCGACTGCTGCCAGCACGGCCCCTTAATGGGCACTGAATGGCACCGTTACGCCGGTGCCATCGGCGGTAATTAGGCACGAGCCAGCTGTGTTTGTGCTGTCACCAAGGCAGTAAAGTGACACACATACACGTGCCAACAAGTGTGCACGCGTGCGCGCACACACACGCCATAGCTAAATATGATACTTCAAAGGGGCACATTTTTCAGTTCCGTGTTAGGACGGAACAGTCTTTGAAGCCGCGCGTGACCTTAAACAATTCGCGCATCCGATCCAAATTAAAACATTTTGCAAGGGAGATTAAGCCAATGAGACTTTGTATGTGCATGGAGTTTCATTATCTCAGAAGTCCCAGACCTTGTAAAAATTCGATTTTGTTCTTTGATTTGGCCTCGTCTGGCTTTGTAAATTCGACAGCTCTAATTCAACAGCTCGATGCAGAGCGAATCACTCGCCCCCATCTGCACAGCTAAGGAGAGTGCAGGGCAGCCCTTTGTGAAAGATAGACCCTTGAAGGATGTCGTGCATGTGATATACGTTTCTAAAACGACAGGCGGCTGTGAACTGTCTGGAGCCGTTATATATGAGTGTATTTTACTTAACCGGTCATGATTAAACCAGACTTCTCATGTGTAATGAGGCGATGGTATCAGCCCCATCACTAATGACTTCACAAAAAACCCTGTAGTATGAAAATAAGGATTAGCATTTTTAATAATAAACACATCACGGTGCTGTGTGATGGAAGCGATACATTTGTAACACTGGTGTCACAAAGCTGGCCAGCTTACCCAGTGGAAGAGGGAGCGATTCGCAGTTGGAAGGTCGCGATTTAAAAATGCTGGCTGACTTAGCCAACCATGCTTTCGGTGTCGATGAAATGTGTACTACTTTGGGAAAGGGTCAACAGCGGTTTCCTATGGATGGCCTCGCCACCACCATAAGAATGCAGAATCTCCAATGCTGGCTCTCTGCAGGGCTGCAAATAGGAGATGAACACCAATGTCTCCTTGCTTCTTCAAGTAGGAAAGCACTTTGACTTTGGTAGTCGTGATGAGCGCATGGCGCTCGCACCGTCGCGGCTCTGCGTGCGGTTGACGGAGGGCCGTGTCACTCTGTGGCGACGTTTCCTCTAAAACAAAAACAGCGGAAAACAGAAAAAGACACGGCCATGAATATTTTAGTGCCGTGCTTTCCAGGAAGGTCTATTCTTGTCGTCGCGTGGGTACGCACACGTGCCAACGCTGTTTAAAACCTGCTTGAATCGAGGCGTTGTCTGCACTGCAGTTTATCTCCCACAGAAGCGAGTGGCCGTTATGCACCCTTTTATTTTGGCGGAAATTGGGAGCAATAGTGTGTGCGTGAGAATGCATTCAGTAGGCGCTTGGAATGGTGGTGGTGGTCATGATGGCAACGATGTTATTAGTTGTAGTGCCGGTTATTTTGTGACGACGTGTCTGTCCATCTTGCTGTGGTGGCTACGCATGTTGTCTGTAGTACAGAATTTTGGATGCGAGGGTGGGTGGATTACACAGATGTTGTGAATCTCCCTTTCCTCTGGGCGTCGAGGTGCCATGTGCCCTGACTCGCCGTGAGAAAGATGGTATAACAAGTGGACTAACCTCAATCTTTTTCCATCTGTGTATGGTGATTGTGTTGTCTTCTCATGCACATAGGCTTTCTCTGGATGCTCTGGTTTCCTGGCAAACTTAGAAATACTCAAAACATTGGTTCAAAACATTAAAAATTTTAACCCCTCCTGAAAAAGTCTTTGGATTTAGTTTGGCTTTTTGTGTCTAATTAATTATTCATCTGATATAAATGTAATCTTATGCTTGTGATGCTCTGCATTTTATTGTACGTGTGAGAATTGATTACTTGAAATGCATAGCAATGATGTGCCCATGAAAGGCCGATGTTACATTGAAGAGACAATGAATCAAACTAAAATCGTAGAAACCATACGGAAAATTTCGAAAAAATAAAAAACGAGGCCACGTGGAAATATTTGAGCCAGCGCTTCTCCTAGCCGCTTTGGGGTGGTGTGAATCATTACAATCCCAGTGGTGTACTCTGAAAAAAGGCTATTGTGCAAAACATCACCGATTGTGGATTTTATTGACGAATGCGTTGCGTTTTTTTGTTATTTGTGCCCGTGCATACCACTGCCGATGCAGTATAACTAAATTATGTATTACCATATACATATTGGATCATCTCTACGAGAGGTGTATAGTTGCGCCTCGTTACGGATGGGTGCGATTGACGGACAGAACTTATGGGGTAAAAGCTTTCAACCTTGCTTGGAAAGCCTTAAAAACACATTTAACCTGCTCCCCGATCATTTCCCCTATTGTAGGGCAGTGAGCTCAGAGACGCCCATGGCAAGTCTCTAATTTTTAGGGTGTATTGCTCCGGGTGTGGTCCACGTTATTTGCTGTTTTTCCTCATCTTCGGAAAATCTTCTTTGTATTCTGGGTTCTTGAATGACAAACAAAATTACAAAACAATTTACGCCACGTGCTCGATGCGGTGACCTGCTCTCAGACCTCATGGTGCAAGTTCTGGCTGAGGATGGGAAGCTGATGAAGAACGTGACACCCAACAACCTGAGCATGAAGATCTGGAATGCAGACACCAAAGTCTCCCCCAAGTCTCCCTCTAAGGTATGCAGGGTCAGTGCCAGCTGGACAGCTCCCCTATCCGCTAAAATTACATTGTTGCGACCGTGTCCGCACACGTGCAGTTACATAACGGTCCGTATGTAACGTTACGTGTCGTGCAGCCCTTTGTCCGTCCATTGCCGGCTGAGGGCACGGCAAAATGTTTGACAAGACATTGGCCGCGCTGGTCATTGCAGGCTGGTGATGATTGAAAGAGAGTGGCTGGCGGAGCATGCAAGTCCAGGACAACAATAGACGTCGCTGCCTGGACCCTCTGCTTTCCGTAATATAGCCCCCATAGCCTGTGACACGTATGGTGCTCACCCATCCCAAGTTCTATACAGGCTCTAGCCCAACATTCTATGACCTTGGGCACATTGCGGGTGATGTGGCCGTAGCTCTGTATTCGTTCAGGAGGTTCGGGGAGTCTGAAGAGCGTTTTTTTTTTTAAGGAAGGTTCTGCACCAGTATGAATAGAGGCTTTCTTTCCGAGAGTAACCTCACTTTTCCCACCTATGTCACCAGCACGCCAACCACCAATACCGTGTTGTAGATGCACAGGCAAAATATCTTTCCATGTGACGACACATCTTCCGGGCCATGTGAATTTTTTCCACGTGCGTTCACGCGCGCACGCCGCCACCGCCGCAACTCAATTGTTTGATCAGCCCCGTCGGCTTGTCTCCTGCATGTTTGTGCGGCGGTAAAGTTTGATTGAACCTCCCTCTGCCCAACACGGCTTGTCGGACATTCCAGAGTAGCCTTCGTGGCCCAGGCATTCTTGACGGTAAGCGGCTAAAGTTGACGATCGCCCACTCTGCAAACAGATGCAAAGCTTTGAGTCGTCCAAATTAGCGTTTGCCTGTTTGCTCGCCCATCATTGCCTGCCTGCTTAGGTTTACTGCTGTCCCCCCTCCAATATTTCTGCACTGCCCCCCTCCACTGCTGTCAACTTTACCCACCTGCCTTTGCCTTCTTATTCTCACCAGCAATCCCCATGCATGCCTTATTCTCGCCTGGTCCACCATCAATTGTCTTCTCTACCAACACCGGTCCTTGGAGATTTTGAGGTTTAAAAAAAAAAGATAGAATTCCCTTTTTTTTTTGTACGATAGCCTCTGCGGCCATCTGGAACGCTCTTCCTTCTGATATTAGGAAACCACTGGAGTTGTTTACTTTTAAATATAGATTGAAAACTATTTTTTTTAAACTGCTTTTTGTGTTTAGTGTGTTGTCCTTCCCCTGCACCTTTGATGAGCAAGGTTGGCCATGAAGTATGCGAAAGAACTTCAACATACATGTATGAATATGGAATGAAACACGCTGAACCCGCCAATCCAACATAGTTTCCAGCTGTACGGAAGTAACGGTTATTGGACAGCAAAATCGATGCGGGAGTATAGAAGTACATTTTAAGTACATTATAATGATGTATTGTACTTTACTGATTATCCTGCCCACAACATAACTCCACAGCCTCTTACACATGTTATGCACGGTGGGTGTCCATGCAATCACGATCCAGATTCAAACCTGCTTAGCTTCCGATATATGATGAGATCGGGCTCATTTCGAGTACTTTGGTCTTAGGTGACTCTGTACAGGTCTGGCATTAATAATAATTCATAACGCGTAACCCTGTGCCCCCTCTACCGCATGAAATACGAGGGCGCTGTTAAAGCGAATAGCCTTTCCTTGCAAACTGTGGCGTCCGCAAAGAGAGTAATTGAGGTGACACATCCCTGGAGGGTCCTCAAACAGGCAAACATCCTCTCCAGCAGAGAGAATCCCATCCTGTGTGTGCGGCCCGAGACAAAGTGCAACATAAAACTCTTCAAGCTGCCAATGCTGGCTCACGGCTCCCCTGTCAGTCCTCCCCTTAAGGAGACGTTTGTCTCAATGCGATGTCATCATCAGCAGCAGAAACATGATCAATCGTCTGCTGAATAAAAGGCCTTCTGAAGCCACCACCATTTGTCATGATTCCGCTTTCCGACAATCCACACGTGAGCTGATTTAGAATCTCCATCTCCGCCGAGTTCCCTCCTTTTGCTGCAACTCAATCACGAGTCTCATCAACCGGACATCATTCCTTCGATCGAAGCGTCGCCTCCAAACCCACTTTATTTTCTTTACAGCGTGTGTGATGCCTTCAACTTACATATTTTCTCAAATCTTTATTCGATTACGTTTCTCTACTTTATATTCTCAAAAAAATTGGTGCGCCCCCCCCCCTCCCTTGTCCTGCCATCCTTCTTCATCAACCCACACTGACCAACATGGTGAAGTATGGTGAAATAACCCGCATGACCATGTATAACATCGACACAGGCATTTAGCTTGCCAAGCCGCACCTTGCCACCTCTGGAAAGTTGGGACGTTCAACAGCGAACCCGTCTACCGCAACGTGTGAGAAACGTCAAGCGAGAGGGCTCTCTGCCTCCTTCGTACTCTCATCGCCGCTTGCTGCGCCCGTTTAGGCCTCCCGCTGTCGCAGCCCGCCGTCCGGGCCACGGCGTTGCTTCGCACACACAGAGAGGGGAGCACGTACACTTGTGTGCTGTTCCCGCAGCGATAGGATCTGACGCTGGCAGGCACGGGCAGTTTCTGAGGCCAAAAAAACACAAAACAAATGTTGGCGGCGAGTTAGCAGCGTTGGGAAACTTGAAGAAAAACATTTCTGCAGATCTTCTTGGTTCTTTCGGTAAAGTCACGTAGAAGGGAAATAATAAAAGTATAACATAATAAAATACAAGACCTGTTTTTCACCTGAGGACGGCTGCTTGCGTTGTGGCCGAAACGTCGTGAGAATTGTATTTTATTATGTTTTAGTTTTATTATTTTATTATTTCTCTTCTACGTGACTTTACCGAAAGAACCAAGAAGATGAATCCCTGCAGCCACGAAAGCTTTAAATCGAAATTTCTGCAGATTTTGCTCTTTTTGGGTATCCCTTCTCGGTGTTTGGTTCTTCGACAGGAATACGGACGAGAATAATGGTAGCTTTAGTGAAAAATTTCGTGGTGGAATTAAGGAGACGCAAATTTTAGTTGTGGTTTTTTTCTCATTTCTCTGGTGAAAACTTCACTTTTCCTATGCCACGGGCGGGAGCGTGCATCTCGGCTTGAAATTCTTCCCAGGCCTTACCCGGCAAGGAATTTCGAAAATTTTAAAACGTTTAAAATGTCGAGTTTATTTGGACAGCCTGCATCGCGGCCCTGGGGTCAGCACGTACGCAACTCATGCCCTGAAGCATGAAGTGGTAGCTACGTTCCCAGTTCATCTTCTTGGTTCTTTCGGTAAAGTCACGTAGAAGGGAAGTAATAAAATAATAAAAATAAAACATAATAAAATAAAATAATATAATATTTTATTATTATTTTTATTTTTTATTTTATTACTTCTCTTCTACGTGACTTTACCGAAAGAACCAAGAAGATGAATCCCTGCAGTCACGAAAGCTTTTAATCGAAAAGTTCCCAGTTATTTAAATTAAGTACATCAGAATCTTTATTTATCCTGGAGAAATGCAATGAGCTATGAAGCTCTTTCACAGATGTACAGTAGTCTCACAGATGTCCGATAGAGCTGAATTGATTAACGTCGACATTTTTTCTATGCAGTGACTCGTAGTATTACACGGTTATTCTGTGCGATGTCATTGAACGGTAAAATCACATCCGCTGAAATGTAAGGCCGATTAAGTTACTTATTTTGGGAAGGGAAACTGTAGCTTTCTATTTGCAGCTGGCCCATGCGCTCAATCTCATAATAATGTCAATTCTTCCTAAAAATAGTCTCAAGACTTTTTTCGAGGGCCCTGCATATGGATGTTTGGCCATTGTCTGTTCAGGAGAATTTTGGATATTGGGAGGAAGCTGGAACACCCGGAGAAAACCCGCGCAAACGATTTTTCGCACGGGTTTACAAACCCTCTTGCTGTACTGCCATCCCTTGAAGCTAACAATGTACAGTAATGGGCTTTTTACAGAAATAATGAGAATGATTCAAATGGGCTTCACTTCTCTTCTCTCGAAATGCAGCCACAAAAATATGAATGTTGTAAATGTCTATTTTTTATCGAGTGGGTCTGAATTTTGCCTTAAAACTTTCGTGACTGCAGGAATTCATATTCTTGGTTCTTTCAGTAAAGTCACGTAGATAGAAAATAAAAATAATAAAATAAAATTTTCATTTAAAATAAAAATCAATTGAAAATAAAGCAAAAAAATTGCTAAACAACACAATCCAAAAAATTGTTGAATAAAATTTTTATAAAAATTTCTAAATTAATTTAAAATAATAAAAGCAAATAAACCCACGACGTTTCTATCACAACAGAAGCGGTCTTCATCAGGCGGAGAGAAGTGGTTTTGACTATCCGTTGGGGGCTGGCAGCCCGGCGCGACATCGCGTGATTGAGGTTATCCTCGCTCCGTCGCAGTGAATTAGCATGTTCGTTATTGCTGCTATTAGACGTGTGTCGACCACGATTGTTTTTTAATAGCACCGCTCAAAAGCTATCCCCGGGAAATGTCTGCGGATTATTTAAGGTTTTTAATTTGAGTTATATTGCTAATTGTGAAGGTTTTGGGACAATTTGCCAGGCGCCGATGATTCAGGAAACCACACGGAACTAACCGAGTTTGTGCCGTACTCTAGATTTTTACTTGTGTGCACTTCAAGATACTTCCGGCATCATCATGGGTGTTGTATTTCTCCCGTCACTGAGGAGCGTGGGTTTTTCTCCAGATAATCTTGCCGTTTTCCCCATCAGCAAAATCACAACATGTGAAGGAATTGGCCTGAAATCCGGAATGGGGCGGATGCTCCTGAAAAGACGAATTCGTATCATGAATTTTAGTGAGGCTCCTAGGACAAACAACGGAACTCTTTAATTGTTGCAAGGTTTCGTCGATACGATGCCGCCGCAGTGTTGCTGCGTATGTTCGCACGGGTTTACTGCGTCGCTGTCATGTGTTTCTAGGTTGTAATGCACATTGTTCGATGTGATGTTTTATTGTTTTTGTGCTGATTTATGTTTGCTTTGTTGCTGCCCTTTATTTTATTTGTTTCCCTTTCGTCATTTCGGTAACCTCCCCCCCCCCCTCCCAAAGTCACGCTTTCAAATGAGACAATATACTGATCTCTTGAGTTCTTACCTGGTTAAACAAAATAAACCTGGAACTTGTCCGACGTCTCGCTCCACGTGCTGAGAGGAAAACGTCAGACGTCACGCGTCGTAAGCAGAAAACGCATCGAAGAGCTATCGTGCTGTCGTCACCAAACTAATCTCACTGTCGGTCCCCTGGAACGATAATATCTTGTTGCCGTAGGATGAGAAACTTGATTTGGCTCGATTTGGCCTGATCTTACCCCAGAACTCGAGTTGAAGAACAACTTGAAGTGGTAGAAATAAAGAAATCACAATTTGCATCATTTGCTGAGCTACTAAACTGATCACATGAAATATTTCAGAGTTTGATTTCGGAATTTGCATAGTTTGCTGCATATTATTGATCATCCCTCCTCCAGTTTTCACGTGGCTTTCACAACCCCGGGTGCAAATTAAACAATTCCACATAAAACATCTTTCATTGGCATGTTTGGTGGTGTATTTCTGCTCAACCCACAGGGAATTCTGGCCCACTCAGCTGGTTTGAATACAGTTAAGGATTGAATGAATTAATCTCACTATAACTCACCGAGTATGACTAACAAAATAGATGAGCAAACCAAAACACTTTCATATATCTGGTTTGAATAAAGTTAACGAACGGATGAATGAGTCCTCGGGCAATCACCTGGTTTGAGTAACGCTAATGAATTGCGTTGCAGAGCATCACATTCCAGTGCAACATGCCCCAAGCGGGAGACAAGGAAGGACATTTCTACTTCCGGTGAGTGACTGCCTAACAACCAACAATTTTACACCATACCCGTTGCTGTTAAAACCTTTTAAAACCCATACTTCACCACGATGGGCGGTCCCGGTTGGTGCAAGGGTTTCATTACTTGAGATATTTATTCTCGCCATGTTGGGCATTACACCTTCGTGGAATTTCTCACAACAACCGTTTGATGATGATTGCTTGTGTTGCAATCGAAACGTCGTAGTATGCTAGTATTTAATTTATTATTTTATCTTTGTACGTGACTTTACCGAAAGAACCAAAGAATAATTCCTGCAGTCACGAATGCTCCAAAATTAAGATTGAACCGTTTGACCATGTGGGCATGCGCGCGTGGACCTGTTTTCCATAAGCGGGGAGTGTTCGTGCCGCACTGTTAACCCGGTGGACCCGAGTTCGATTCCCGCTCATGGCCAACATGGGTGACAAATATCCGAACCGGTCTTGGACCTCTCCTTGAGTCGACTCAGCCTTTAATGAGTACCTGGTACGATTTGTCAACATCCGTTATTGGGGAGACGAAGGCTGTAGGCCACCCACCCCCTCGTGTGCAGTGCTGGCCTAAATAGATGCTCTAATAGCACTTTGCCGCAACAGTTTGTTAAGGCCGTACGGGGGGATCTTTGTCTTTGTCATTTATTTTTTATACAGTACTAGCTTTACTACCCGGCCACCTTTGTCTCCCCAATGGTGATGTTCACACACCACACCAGTTACTCGTTTGAGGCTGAGTCGACCTAGGGGAGGCCCAGGACCGGTTTAAATAATCAACACCGGTGGTGGCCGTGAGTGGGAATCTAACTCGGGTCACCGGGTTCGTAGCGCAGTGTAGCGCTAACCACTACACCACCGCTCCCCCCACACACACACGCAGACACACAGACACAAACACACAGGCAGCACGCTAACCAATACACTACCGCTCCCCCCACACACACGCGCGTGCGTCCATAGGTACACATACACGTGCTTGCTGCAGACACGCAACTTTCAGGGTGCGTACGGCAGTAAACGACTAAAATAAACCAATGCTGCGCGAAGAACGCCTTAGACCTGCAACACATTTGTATTTCACTTTACCCGCGGAGGGTTTGGGGGTGGCGTGACATCAGCAGGCACACTCCGTTAGGCTTCCGCATACGGGTCACATGACAGATGTGACTGTCACAGCAGCTGACTTGCCGTGCAAAATATATGCATTATTGCGCCCCCCCCCCCCTTCCCCCCATGGTGTACAGTCTGGAAAGTACCCACATGGCAAATTAAAAGTTTGTTGCATTTTTCGATTTAAAGCTTTCGTGACTGCAGGGATTCATCTTCTTGGTTCTTTCGGTAAAGTCACGTAGAAGGGAAGTAATAAAATAATAAAAATAAAACATAATAAAACAATTATCACGACGTTTCGGCCACAACGCAAGCAGCCGTCCTCAGGTGAAAACCAGGTCCGTCGAGGCGACAGAGTCTGAATGAAACAGCACACGAGCTTGGAGCATATATATAAGCTGGGCGCATTGACAAAGGAATTTGCATATCAAAATGAATTTAGCATATTTATGGGAAATGCAGGAATGTGATTAGTACTGCATATGCATGTGCATTATGCAGGATTAACAGCATCAGCAGTGACTGCAGCTCCCTTTGATGCTGTTAATCCTGCATAATGCACATGCATATGCAGTACTAATCACATTCCTGCATTTCCCATAAATATGCTAAATTCCTTTTGATATGCAAATTCCTTTGTCAATGCGCCCAGCTTATATATATGCTCCAAGCTCGTGTGCTGTTTCATTCAGACTCTGTCGCCTCGACGGACCTGGTTTTCACCTGAGGACGGCTGCTTGCGTTGTGGCCGAAACGTCGTGAGAATTGTTTTATTATGTTTTATTTTTATTATTTTATTACTTCCCTTCTACGTGACTTTACCGAAAGAACCAAGAAGTTTGTTGCATGTCGGGGAGTACGCTAAACATTTTGAACAGACAAACATATTCACAAATTTCTCTTTTATATATATAGATACAACATAGACCCCCCCACACTTGCACATGCATGCACACATGCACATTGAGCATTGATCGGTGTGTGTGTGTGCGGACCGGTCTCTCGCAGGAATAAAGTTCTGCCGGAGGTCACTGGGATGTACAACATTGAGTTCATATACACCCACGAGAAGACAATGCTGAAGGGAATGCTGGTGAGTGGCAGTCTAACACCAGATGTGCATCTCTATACAGCAGCAGACTGTAATGCTGCAAAGTAGGCATGTGATGAGTCTCTGTCCCCCTTGCGATTTGACGAATTTCCGTGGCTCTTGGTCGTGATTTGTTTGGACAATTGAGAATTTGTTTTCATTTGTGGGGAATTTAGCAGCTTCTAGTGACATTAGAGGTCATGTGAACCCATTACTTACAAGGTATATGATTCTGAAACGGTCCATTCTCCAACGCTCGATGGGGCGGAACCAAAGCGCAGTGGTTTGCACAATGCTCTACGAAACACCAGTGGCCTGAGATTGAATTTCCCTACCACCTTCGCCAATCCATTTTGACCAAGCGTATATTATAAATCATTCGATTAATTGTTTTGTTTGGATTAGGAGGCCTTCATCCAGCAGTGGATCAACAAAGGGCTGTAAGTGGTAGGGAATCAAGTCTGTGTGCTAACATGTGTTACCGCTCGCCCATCTCGTCGTAGCTATGTGATGTTTGTAATACGTATTGATTTCAACCAATGAATCATCCCACTGGGGACAATGGTCGAAAATAAGTACCACTTTGTGGGGACTTCAACAGCAGTTTACCTACGGTTAGACTAACCCCCACCATCGGAATGTGGAATTTCCACCACTGACTTATGGCTGTAATATTCTTAGGTTTTTTTCGGTAAAGTCACGTAGGTAAAAAATTTAAATTAATAAAAGTAAAATTAAAATAAAATAAAATCACGACATTTCGGAGGCAACACAAGCTTCCGTCTTCAGGTGGAACAGTCACAGCACGATAGCTGTATCAAGTGAGAGAAATTCCAAGAAAACCGTACTTGTAGATATACTGGTTGAGGGTGGGAGGAGCCAAGGTAGGCCCTGAATATTATTTTTGTGTGACGGAAGCTTGTGTTGCCTCCGAAACGTCGTGATTTTATTTTATTTTTATTTTACTTTTATTAATTTTAATTTTTTTCCTACGTGACTTTACTGAAAAAACCTAAGAATATGAATCCTTGCAGTCACGAAAGCTTCAAATCTAGAATTATGGCTGTAAACTGCAGATTAGCACCGCCTCAATGCTCATTTGAGCAGTAGGGGGTCCTTAGTTGTGATCTATAAAACAATAGAGGAACAAGGAAAGGAAAAAAGAGAGAAATTGGCAGAGATGGTAAAGAGACTTGCAAAGCGACGGGCTGTGAAGACAATGTAACCGTAATTTGACAAACATCCCAATGCTCAAAAATTACCAGCTAATCACTCGATTTGGAATCACACACACACACAGCAGCAGCAGCATCGCCCCCCTGCTGCGAAAACGTGGCAGCACTTTCCTGAAAAAGTGTCTCGAGACTCGGCAAAGCTTTTCTGGGTGAAACAAGCCGCGGGCAGGCCAGCCAGACAGGGCACTTGCGTTCCTTGACCGCATCCCGCTCTCTCTTGGCCACGCGCGTGCCCAATTCAGGTCACGCTGGAGGTGAAGCCGGGGCCGCCCGAGCGACTGCAGCCGGACGTGACACCGGCCACGCTCACCGTGTCCAACTCGCGCTCGCTCGACAGCCGCACGCTTCTGCGCGCCGTCACGCTGCGGCTCACGGTGAGCGTCGCGGCGCTTCCTGCGTTCTCGTGGCACCCACCGGCAGGCCGGTGTGGCTCTCGTACCCATTAGGGCGTCCTCCCAGCAAACCATTCCCGGTGGTTGTTGGCTCGATCAGGGGTTGGCAACAGAAGTAGCAAAAAGAGCTTGTCTTCTTGTTTCTTTCGGTAAAGTCACGTAGAAGGGAAATAAAAAAATAAAACATTGTAAAATAATTCTCACGACGTTTCGGCCACAACGCAAGCAGCCGTCCTCAGGTGAAGAACAGGTCTGTCGGAAAGACAGCGTCTGAATTTCCCATAAATATGCAAAATTCTTCTGATATGCAAATTCCTTTGTCAAGGCGCCCTTCCACCCCTAACCCAGCTTAAATATACGCTGCCAAGCTTGGTGGTGTTCATTCAGACGCTGTCTTTCCGACAGACCTGTTCTTCACCTGAGGACCGCTCATCCTACCAGTTATCTAAGAGAGCGAATGGAGGTCACTTTGGCTAACATTTCAATGCAGGGGAACAGCCCCACTCTGAAAGTTGGGCGTATCCTACTAGCGAATGGTTCTTGGTGGTTATTAATTAGATCACAGATAGAAGCCGCAAAGTGCTTGGATGGGCGACCGTCATGCACAACAGCTGGGCCTGTTTAGTGGACGGCAGACGGCAGTGCGGTAAATCCATTGGTCTATTGTACTTCTATGCTCCCACACGCTGTGGACCCAACCTTCGCCTACCCACACGGACTAGTATGATGTGGGGGAGGCCTTCATCCAGCAGTGGATTAAGAAAGGGACATAACCCGTGTGTTATAACACGGCATGTCGCGTCGCAGGATCAGTTTGGGAACCCGACCGGTTGCGACTTGGACGGAGAGGTGGAGGTGACCATCGAGGGGAGTGAGGAGGTGAAGACAGAGGGGGAAGAGAGGCCGCTCTTCATTGGACATAAACCCTCGGTCCAAGTCCCACTCACCGCCGGCGTCGCCAAAATTCAGGTGAGCGGCAGAGGTGTGGCACCTTCCGATTAGCACGGTTTGCTACGTATGGTGTGAAAGAAGTTCTACATGCACACATGGCCGAGCGGCTCCGAGGTAAGTGCCAAGTCGCCACCGCTGAGCACTGTAAGCTCAATGGCAGGTTTGAGCCGCCTGTGATGAAACCTGGTTTTCATTTGTCACGAGTCGATGGTCTCAGCCTGGTTAACAGTGATTACACGAATACATCGTGTTAAAATAAATTCTGCAATTAATTTGGCTACGTTCCAGCTCTGAGAGTTAACAGTATGGCGTGGGAGAGGCCTTCATCCAGTGCTGTTTGTGGCAGGGTGGGTGAAATATAGCTGCTCCCTACTATGTGAACCAGAGGTAAATATAAGGGATCTTACGAGGAAGCTCGGTAATAAGACCAAGGGATTGTACTGCTGTGCGAGAGATACACATCGATTCTCCGTCTCATAGCGGCATGGCTCTTAGAGCACAGTTGAGATAACATTTTCAGAAAGTATTTTTTAAAAACCTGCATGAATAAATATAGAATAGACACTGGGCATGGTATTGTTTTTTCTGTTGGAGATGGGTGGACAGTACAGAGGCCAATATTGCATCACAGCACAGAGCTGTCAACACCAAGATTCTGGATTCAAATCTGCATGTCTCTTGTGTTTAAAATGAATGTTTGACTTCATGTGGGAGGAAGCCGGAGTACACGGAGAGAAAACCCACCACCCATACGAGGGGGTGACACTCGAAACTTTGCACGGATGAATTTCTTAATATAGTCTTTTACAGCTACCCTCTTCGCCATGCGTGGTAATTTCTCATGCAAGTCCTAACCAGACTCAACTCTGCTTAGCTTCAGGGATCGAATGCGATTGGACCTGACTTCCGGATTTGCGTGGTGATTTGCGATGCTCTCTCTGCCTATCGATCCAGGACACCTGTGAAAACGAATGTAGTCCGTATCACAGTGTTGTTCCTGGCCAAATATTCTCATTAAATTAATATTACCAAGGCTCACCGCTGTGCGCGGCAGAACGGATGTCAAGGACCATGGGGGAATTATTCTCGAACGTGGGCATCTTTGTGTGCCAGGGCCGGTAGCTCAAATAGTGAGCTTGAAATTACCCGCAACTCGGTCGTAAAATAAAACACGTCCCGACTAGGGTTTCCCAGACCCCTTCCCCCTCTCTTTCCAAACAAATCACGACTCGCACCTGGTTAAATAAAGGACATTGAATTTAATTAATGCACACACACACACGTGCATGCGCACGAAACAGAAATACTGCTCGTGGCTACACCAAATCCTCCGTGACTAATCTTCGTAGACAACCACTAATTTCTAGGTGCTTTTATGCCACTTAGGGTGTTGGCTTGTGCTCATAATTTTGACAGAAATGTAGCATGTCGTTAAGCTTTACGAGCCTGTCGTTAAGCGGACTTTAACGAGCGAGCGTGCCGATCGGCCCTCTTCCTGCTGCTTCTGCAGCCGCCATCGTGGTGGCCTGCACTATTGCGGTGTTTGCGCTGCGGCTGACGCTGTGCGGTGGTGTACATCCCCCTTTCGCGTCCACACCGGGAGGATCCCGTGCTAGCGACATGACGATGGGCAACTGAACAGAGAGAGGACGCGCACAGTGTTGTCAGCTGTGCACATATACACTTGAATACAATGACAAAGATCCTCGCATAGCCTAACAGACTTGGGGGCAAGTGCTGTTATTCAGCACCTACAAAAGCCTCCACGGCACACAAGGGGGTGGGTGGCTAGCATCATGCCTGGCCGCCTTTGTTCACAGTGGTGATGTTTACACACTACGGCAGGTACTTATTTGAGGCCGAGTCAACCTAGGGGAATGCCCAGGACCAGTTGAAATAATCGTCATTGGTGTTGTTATGTAGCGCAGTGCTCGTGAGTGCTGCTCCACCACTCCCCACACATGAACACACACGCACATATATATTTACACGAGCATATACAGTGTACACAATCGTGTGCACACAAACATAAGCACTTAAACATTCACACATGAACATTCGTATCTGTGCACACGAACGTACACACACGTGAATATATGCGCACGTGCACATACATACTCGCACATACACAAAGTTCCTCCTCTTCATTCTCATAAGCGATTGGGGCAGACTTGCATGCATTGTGCGCGTGTGTGAAATACACACACGTCCACATACATGCACAAAGGCACAGCTCTCCCTGTTTATCCTCACAGAATATTGGGACAGACCCACGCACATTCACACAGCGCACATGCTCACGCACGCATGCGACTCACTGCTCCGGTTCATCAGCTGTGCAGATGAGTGAGTGGATTGCTCTGTGCCTTCCTCGCGGAACAGAGTCCCGCCGAGTTGGGGCTCGGCCGAATCCCGAGAAGAAAAAAGCGAATCCGCACGAGCGATGTTGTATTGTTTTCCTCTTTTCGTCAGAGGCCGGCGCCGAGACGGTTAAACTGGGCCACGCTTGGGGAACACGGTTTCATCTCGGGTGGCTGCGCCGATTCGCAGCCTAGCGTCTTGGCGGTGCCGGCCCAGTGCGTCTCAGACGAATGTAGCAAGCGGCCTTATCTCCCCTGAGCCCCACTCCCTCAGTAGAGAGGACAATAATTCACCCCCTGCCCACCCCGTGAAGATTATGGGGTCGTAATTCGTTTCAACAATCAGTTGCTTTTTTCTGTTTTTGTTTGCAGTGTTTTGATTCACTCCATGAGCCTAAGTGTAACATTAACATGTCACATGCATGTAATAATACACATAATAATTTACAGTCTTTCGTCAGTCAACTGCTGGATGAAGCCCTCGCCATTCCACTTTGGTCATTGGAGGTTGTTTGACCAAACTTCACCTTGCGACTCAACGGCGTGGGTTTAAGAAGCGACAGAATACCAGGACCAGTTTATACTGGTAGGAACCTCCTGGTTACACCAGCCCACAGGGGATTGTTGTGTCCGTCCGTCGTGCATCTAAAAATGGGAGGGGTGGGGCTGGGTGGAGAATGGAGGAGCTGGGTGGGGAGGGTGGGGAAGGGCTGGGTGGAGGTTGGGAGGGGTGGGGCTGGATGGGGAGGGGCTGGTCACCCCGTGGTGCCCTTATAAAACTCAACGTTTAACCTACTCACGCCGGCTTGTGTGCTCGCCCTCACAGTCGGCCATATTTGCGGAATTCACCACGCCGCCGTTGACCCTGGCCATTGACCGAGCAACCCGACGTTCCTACCAGCTCCCTCCGCAGGAATGTGTTGTATCGCTCGCTGCTGATCTTAGACGTGGAGGCTGGGAATCGAAACCTGCAGATGTTATCCTCGATGTTTATGTCAAAGTCAAGGTGTCACTTTACTCAAATGAGCAGTGAATGATCCCAAGGCAGTGGTAAAAATTCCACGTTTCCTTTGACTTTGGGCCAGATGGCAGAGCCAACTAGAATGATGGTATGTGGTACTATAATTGAAAGGAAAAAAAAAACCCTCACGTACGCACACTCGTACGATATATATTCACGTTAATATTTATTCCCCTATTAAAGACGTGCGAGCATGAAGTATGCATACAAGTGGTCGTTCCGTTCTGTAAGTAGGTGCTCGAGTAAAACAAACAAGTGCTGCTCGGAGCTTGTTATCAACGCCGATCAGAAAACTAAAACCAACACGGCCCCAATACACAATGCACGGCAGCCAAGGCGTTGCACGGGCAGTGTCACTCTTGACAAATTACTGCCCGAGTGCTTTGTGAGCCAGCGGTCGAGCATTTGGCAGTGGTGGCGACGGTGAATGGTGGTGGTTGTCGTGGCGGTGGTGATTGTGGTATTCGGGTTCGTGGTGACGCTGTTTGTGGTTTGTGTTGTTCACAGCCACGGCAATGTCTCCCGAGTGTGAACGGATTGCTCGAAGCTGCCAGACTGTGATATTTTTTTCACAATCGGCTGTTGTGAAATGTGATTCGGGAAAAAAAACTACTTTTGAACTAACGTCTGTTCTTTTTTGGACCCCGCTGTAGCAATCGGGCGCTTTTGGGCCCTTCGGCTCCAGAGTTTTTTTGGCGGTGTTTACCCCCCCAAAAATCTGGCAGCCCTGCCTGCGCTCCATCGGAATGTCCCGATTTAACCCAAATGTCATCCGCTCGGTGCCGAAGCCACGGCTCCCGAGGGGGGGGCCTCCGACGCTGGCCCTGTGTGCACGCGGGTGATTGCGATCGCGAATTGTTGATGTCGTGTTGTTATTATGGCATTCGGCCATGGGTCATTTTCAGATTAAAGTTTTGGGCAGTGACACTGGCTGGCACACAGTGACCTACCCCTGCCGTGTAGTACCGTTGGGTCTTTAATAAGTGTGTAATACGTTTGTAGCTATCATCTCACTCGACTCCCCTCCCCTCCACTGTCTCCTACATCTCCTCTCATCTCTTTATGCTCCCCATAACACTCTTCTCATCTTTCTCTACTCTCCTTAGTCCACTCTCTGCTCCAGCAACCAAAGCTTTCTATCCATGCCCTCAATCAACCTTTTACTCAGTAGGAGGGCTACTAATTATCTTCTGCTACCTCCAGAGTCTGAAACTATTTTTCCCCAGCCAGGTGGTGGTGATGATGAGCTATGTACAAACGGCCTAGGTTCAACAAATGTGGCTGAAACCCTGTTTTAATCTTCGTGGGGTTTTAGAAATGTCTAAACTCTCTTCCAATTACTTTTTTTTGTTGAAAGTTGGAATTAATTTTGTTAAATTTTTAAAACCCTTGTGGGGGAGTTGGTGCGGGTGGCAGGACAGAGAGACTTAAACCATGACATTTCACACGCAGTGTTAACTACCTCGCTTGGTATACAGGCGGTTGTGTATATTTGGAGTATGCATGTTCTCCCCTGTTGTTGCGTGGATTTTTCTCCGGGTCCTCCGGTTTTTCCCTCCACATTTAGAAACGTGTTCAGATTGCCTGCTCTAAATTTCTACATGATAAGCCACTTCGAGCTATCATTTGTGGCCAGG